ATGGCTTATTCCTTTTTGGGGGGGAGAGGGAGGGTCCGGTCATGGGGCCTGAACTCTGGGCCTGAGCGCTGTCCCTCAGCAATTCAGCTCAAGGCCAGTGCTCTACCGCTTGAGCCACAGCGGCACTTCCGGATTTTTTCTTTTTGCTTATGTGGTGCTGAGGAATCAAACCCAGGTCCTCATGCATGCAAGGCAAGCGCTCTACCACTGAGCCACCTTCCCAGCCCCTTTCCTTTCTTATTAAATGTTGCAGCTTATGAGAATGTAAGGGTTACAGCAAAAATAGTGCTCATGTGCTTTATTTTAAATTTTTTTATTGTAAAGATACTATACAGAGGGTTACAGTTACATGAGCAAGGTAATGAGTGTACTTCCTATTGAGCATTGTTATCCCCTCCATTGTTTTCCCCCTACCAGCCCTTCCCTCCCTACCTTCCCCGAGGTGGTTTTTTTTTTTTTTTCTTTGTGATTGATTACATAATTTCTGAAATTTTACAGTATTGTGGAATAATGATGCTCATTTAAAGTCACAAGTTCATTCTAACTTTCCTGGAGCAAATTGTCTATCACAATCTATAACATATAATGGTGTACACATATACACCATACATGTGATCAGCAGCATGGGGATATTTAGTAGTGATTCAACCAGATGAGTGGGAGTTCTTTGTTTCTTAAGTCCTGTTAGTTTTGTATCACCTAACATTTTGGATTTAGCATCCACTTCTCAGGGAGACCATGTACCATTTGTCTCTTTGTTCTTGGCTTACCTCGCTCAACATGATTCCTTCTAACTCCATCCATTTCCCTGAAAATGCCATTATTTTGTCATTTCTAATGGCTGCATAATATTCCATTGTGTATAGATACCACAATTTTTTTTTTTTTTTTGGGTCCGGTTGTGGGGCCTGAACTCTGGGCCTGGGTGCTATCCCTCAGCTCTTCAGCTCAAGGCTAGCTCTAACACTTGAGCCACAGCGCCACTTCCGGCTTTTTTCTTTTTTCTTATGTGGTGCTGAGGAATTGAACCCAGTGCCTCAGGCATGCAAGGCAAGCGCTCTACCACTGAGCCAACTTCCCAGCCCCAGATACCACAATTTTTGGATCCATTCATCTGTGGTGGGGCATCTGGGTTGTTTCCATATCCTAGCTATTGTGAACAGTGCTGCAATAAACATGGAGGTGCATGTGTCCTTGTATATTGGTTCCTGTTGTTCAGGGTAGATGCCTAGAAGTGGTATGACTGGGTTATAAGGGAGGTCAATATTTAGCTTTCTGAGGACCCTCCAGACTGCTTTCCAAAGTGGTTGTATAAGTGTACATTCCCACCAGCAGTGTAATAGGTTTCCTCTTTCTCCACATCCCCTGCAGCATTTGTCGGCTGATTTGTGGATGTGGGACATGCTCATGTGCTTTAAACCAAGCCCTTCATTAATGTTGGTCTGTGAAATTTTGGTTGTTCCATGCTTCATTTTTCTGATCTATCCTGTCACAGAACATTTTTTTTTTCTTTTTTTGTGCTGTTACTGGGGCTTGAACTTAGGACCTAGGTGCTATCCCTTAGCTTTTACACTGGAGGCTGGTGCTCTACCACTTGAACTGCTGGAGGTACAGCTAGTTTTTTTTGTTTTTTTTTTGCTAGTTACTTGGAAAGAAAGAGTCATACTTGGTCTGGGAATGTGGCTTAGTAGTAAAATGCTTGCCTAGCATACATGAAGCTCTGGGTTTGATTCTTCAGTACCACATAAACAGAAAAAGCTTGAAGTGACACTGTGGCTCAAGTGTTAGTGCTAGCCTTGAGCAAAAGCAGCTCAGGGACAGTGCCCACCAGGACTGCCCCCCCCCAAAAAAAAAGTAAAAACAAAACTTAAAAGAACCATAATTTTCTGCCCAGGTTGGCTTACAATCATGATCCTCAGATCTCAGCTTCCTAAACAGCTAGATTACAAGCATGAGCCACTGGTGCCTGTCATTTTTAAAGAAAAAGCAACTTGTGAATTTTGAGACCTGGGTTGACTATTTTCTTTCTTGTACTTTTTAAGTACCTCAAAGATATTTCTCTATGCTTATCTGTAAAATGAGGGCACCAACAAATAATAGAGGTGCATTTAGCATTTACTCTTTGCCATGCACTATGCTAAGTTCTTTTTTATTTTTTTTTTTTGTCGGTTGTGGGGCTTGAACTCTGGGCCTGGGCGCTGTCCCTCAGCTCTTCAGCTCAAGGTGAGTGCTCTACCACTTGAGCTACAGCACCACTTCCAGTTTTCTGGTGGTTTATTGGAGATAGGAGTCTCACGATCTCTCCTGCCCCGGCTGGCTTTGAACCGCGATCCTCAGATCTCAGTCGCCTGAGTAGCTAGGATTACAGGCGTGAGCCACCAGCACCCGGCCTACTATGCTAAGTTCTTTATGTGTACCCTCTTAATCCTTATGACCATACGAGATATGATCATTTCCCCCATTTCATATAGGAGAATAATCATTGCATCAAGCTGATTTCTTCTTGTGAGAATTATACAATGTTTGTAAACTACTTGGCACAGAGACTGGTACATTTTTTTTTTTGGGTCCGGTCGTGGGGCCTGAACTCTGGGCCTGGGCGCTGTCCCTCAGCTCTTCAGCTCAAGGCTAGCGCTCTACCACTTGAGCCACAGCGCCACTTCCAGCTTTTTTTCTTTTTGCTTATGTGGTGCTGGGGTAATCAAACCCAGGGCCTCATGCATGCAAGGCAAGCGCTCTACCACTGAGCCACCTTCCCAGCCCCAGAGAGACTGGTACATTAAGCAACAGAAAGGACCTATTAGGCTGGGAATGTGGTTTAGTGGTACAGTACTTGCATAGCTGTGGCTCAAGTCTTGAGTGGTAGAGTACTAGCCTTGAGCAAAAGAAGCTCAGGGACAGTGTCCAGGGCCTGAGTTCAAGCCCCAGACTGGCAAAAAAAAAAAAGAAAAAAAATTATCTTTCAAACTCTCTTGAGTTATAAAACAGTAAATAACCACTTTGTTCCTATGTTCTGTGTGGTGTGTGTGTGTGTGTGTGTGTGTGTGTGTGTGTGTGTGCGCGTGCGCACGCGCATGCGTGCACGCACGCCAGTGCTGGGGCTTGAACTCAGAGGGCTCAGGTATTATCCCTTAGCTTTTTCACTCAAGGCTGGTGTTCTATTACTTGAAACACAGCTCTACTTCTAGCTTTTTGCTGGTTAACTGGAGATAAGTGTCTCATGGGTTTTCCCTAAAAACATAAATAGTAGGGGCTGGGAAGGTGGCTCAGTGGTAGAGCGCTTGCCTTGCATGCCTGAGGCCCTGGGTTCGATTCCCCAGCACCACATAAAGAAAAAGAAAAAAAGCCGGAAGTGGCGCTGTGGCTCAAGTGGTAGAGCGCTCGCCTTGAGCTGAAGAGCTGAGGGACAGCCCAGGCCAGAGTTCAGGCCCCACGACCGGACCCAAAAAAAAAAAAAAAAAAAACATAAATAGTAAGCTAAAATCTGACTATCTTAGAAGCTACCAACAGAGGAATGTTTAATGATACTAAATGGGAGTTATTAAGAAATCTTATGGCTGGGAAGGTGGCTCAGTGGTAGAGCGCTTGCCTTGGATGCATGAGGCCCTGGGTTCGATTCCTCAGCACCACATAGCAAAAAGAAAAAAAGCCCGAAGTGGCGCTGTGGCTCAAGTGGTAGAGCGCTAGCCTTGAGCTGAAGAGCTGAGAGACAGCGCCCAGTCCCAGAGTTCGGGCCCCATGACTGGACCTCCCCCCCCCCCCAAAAAAAATATTATGGCAGCCAAGTATGGTTCAGATAACTGGAAAAGTCTCAGCTCAAACCAATACAGACACCATGAGGAAGATAGATTTATTTGACCCTGATTCAGGTTAGGCGACTTTTTTTTTCTTTTTGTTAGTCATGGGGCTTGGGCGCTATCCTTGCACTCTTCAGCTCAGGATGAGTGCTCTACTTCTTGAGCCACAGTGCCACTTCCGGTTTTCTAGTGGTTTATTGGAGATGAGTCTCTCACACTTCCCTGCCTAGGCTGGCTTTGAACCATGATCCTCAGATCTTAGCCTCCTAAGTAGCTAGGATTACAGGCGTGAGCCACCGGCACCGGACTGGTTAGGCTACTGTTATACATTGATTCCTCCCCCCCCCCCCTCCCATTCCTGGGGCTTTAACTCAGGGCCTGAGCACTGTCCCTGAACTTCCAGCACTTTACCACTTGAGCCACAGTGCCACTCAGAAGTTTTCTGTTTATGTGGTGCTAAGGAATCGAACTCAGAGCTTTGTGCATGTTAGGCAAGCACTCTACTGCTAAGCCACATTCCCAGCCCTACTTTTTTTTTTTTTTTGGTCGGCCATGGGGCTTGAACTCTGGGCCTGAGCATTGTTCCTCAGCTCTTCAGCTCAAGGCTAGCGCTCTACCACTTGAGTGCTACTTCCGGTTTTCTGGAGGTTTATTGGAGATAAGAGTTTCACGGACTTTCCTGCCCGGGCTGGCTTTGAACCTCGATCCTCAGATCTCAGCCTCCTGAGTAGCTAGGATTACAGGCCTGAGCCTCCGGTGCCCGGCTCCAGCCTTACTTTTATACATTGAGAGTATACATGATATGTCAGCACCCCATCATGATTTCTTGCAAGACAAACGTATTCCATGTTTTTCATCGAAGATAAGAGAACATATAAAGATGAGGGTGATGTTGGTCAGAAAAAGTCTGAAAGACCAAGATCTCTTGTTAGGCTGTGAGTCAACTGAATTCCGAATGACTGGTTTGATTATAAACAGGAAAGGTCCTAAAGAGAATTAGAAAGACTATGAGAAATGTCTTAGCTATGCTACAGTCTTGTTTTTTTTTTTTTGAGTTAAACCATTTTATTTTATTTTTTTATTGTAAAGATACTATACAGAGGGTTACAGTTACATGAGTGAGGTAATGAGTATACTTACTCTTGAACATTGTTACCCCCTCCATTGTTTTCCCCCTACCATCCCCTCCCTCCCTCCCTACAGTCTTGTTTTTAATGGTAAGGATGAAGTCATTTTTATTAGCAGCTTTTCATCTTTTGCTAATAAATCCATGATAAAAAGGCAACAAGCATACAGCCACAGTTCCTTCACAACTGGCTTCAACCCTCAACCAGGAGGCTTCATTCCTCTTGGACCCAGCAGATCTTGCCATTTTTTCCAAGCTGTACAGTTCCGCTGGCCACTAGCTGGAGGGCTGCAGGAAATATTTTGTGTTCTGCTAATTTTACTCTTTCAGACAAAGTTTCAATGGTGTCACCCCTCTTCACTGGAACAGCTTCTTGTAAAATGATCTGTCCAGCATCTACATCTTCCTGGAAAAGGAGGTCAAAGTTTCAAGCTTTACTTTCCAGCCAGTGTAGTTTACATCTAAGCATTAATAGTGATATTTTGGCAAGAAAAGACATACTTACAGCTACAAAGTGTACTGTGCACCCAGTAATTGTGACTCCAGCTTCCAGAACTTGCTCATGAGCATTTGCACCCTTAAATGAAGGGAGCAAAGATGGGTGGATGTTTAGCATTTTCCCTAGAAATTAAAGCAAAAAACAAAAAACCCATAGTGTTGAGAATTCTAAAATATTGATTTTCTTTTTCCTTTTTTTGGGTCGATCGTGGGGCTTGAACTTTGGCCTGGGCGCTGTCCCTGAGCTCTTCAGCTCAAGGCCCGCGCTCTACCACTTTGAGGAACATTGCCACTTCCAGTTTTCTGGTGGTTAATTGGAGATAAGAGTCTCATGGACTTTCCTGCCTGGGCCGGCTTTGAACTGTGAATCTCAAATCTCAGCCTTCTGAGTAGCTAGGATTACAGGTATGAGCCACCAGTGCCTGACCGGGTTTTTTTTTTTTTTTCCTGTTAAAGTAGGGGTAAGTAGCTGCTTTGATAAGCCAATCGAATGCTAGGGAAGCTAGATATCCAGAGTGGTGAGATTGAGGAGGGGAGGAGTGGTGGGAGATTGTCTAAGCTGTACGGAAGGGCTCTGGAAGAGTTAAGCTTGTTGCTGACACATACTGTTAAGAGGCAGGAGGGGCTGAGACATTGGCTCAGTGGTAGAGCGTTTGTCTAGCATGCCTGAGGCCCTGGGTTTGACTCCTTGGTACCATATAAACAAAAATAAATAAAAATTAATTAAAAAAAGAAGAGGTGAGAGGTTCTTGCATACTGCCTATGAACTTGACTTCTAACTACAAATTCTGTAGTAGTTAGTTCTGTGTGCCCATGGCCAAAGGAATCACCTCTTATACTACTACAAGTACTCTAATTACCACTACAAGTAGTCATAAAAGGGGCTGGGAAGGTGGCTCAGTGGTAGAGCGCTTGCCTTGCATGCCTGAGGCCCTGGGTTCCATTCCTCAGCACCACATAAGCAAAAAGAAAAAAGCCGGAAGTGGCGCTGTGGCTCAAGTGGTAGAGTGTTAGCCCTGAGCTGAAGAGCTGAGGGACAGCGCCCAGGTCCAGAGTTCAGGCCCCACGACTGGACCAAAAAAAAAAAAAGTAGTCATAAAAATGGAAGAGGATGAGGTCAAAGCTTTTAAGGAAAAAGGGAAGACTACAAGTCAGGATATTTTCTAGCATCTTCTGGCAATGGGCTAATGCATACTAGAGAGGATGATTCTTCATTCTGGTACACAGAACTACTTTTTGCTTCTCAACAAATGAAAGGGGCTTGTAAATATCTGTTTGGAAGATGAAATACCATTTTTCAGTAATGTGAAACAAAACTAGGTTACATTAGAAAGTGACTAATTACAGAAAGTCAAAACGGACAGAGAATAGGTGAATGAATCATTATCATGCCATTCTTTGGATTAGAGCAAAGGCAATTAAATATGAATGACCTCGGTTAAAGCAAAACATCACAATAAATATTTCATTGCTGAGACTGTTTGCCAAGCTGACCATTCTAGAGTCTATTTTCTATTCATTTCCCTGTTTGTGATATCAAAAAGCTTTGCTTACCATCCCATTTTCTGACAAAGGGGCCAGAGAGAATTCTCATGAATCCTGCAAGACAGACTATGTCTGTGGAAAACTCTTCAAGGACTTGGTCAACTGCATTGTCAAAATCGACACGACTTTTGTATAATTTATGATTTATTACCTGTAATAGAAAAAAGATAAGCATAGCCTTTTTTCACGAAACTCTCAAAAAAAGTTTAAAATACAACTTTCACATAAACCAGACTTCACCACCCTTTGATGGAAATGATAGAGAATGGCAGGAGCAGCTTCTGATGGAGATGATAGCGAATGGGCAGGATGGAGAGGGTAGGCCAAAGAGCATCCACCCAACATGTAAGCATGCAAAAACTTTTCTGCTAGACCTGTGGCAGCAGATTATGAGTTAAGTACATCCTGAGGAGGTTGGAGGTTTAGCTCAATGGTATTCCTGAGGGTTAAATCCTCAACCCAATACAAAGACAAACCACATCAGCCTATTTTCCCAAGTGACTTACTTTGGTGGGAATACCAGCTCTCTCTGCCTTGCTCAACCCAGCCACTTGGGCTTTGTTGGAGATTACAACAACAATGTGTGCAGAGCTCTTTGGATCCAGAGTACTGTCTATGAGTGCTTGGAGGTTCGATCCTGAAAAGGCAGGAAGAAACTAAGTGAAATCATCCTTCTGGAAAAGTATGCTGGGTGATGGTGGCTCACACCTACAATTTTAGCTACTCAGGAGACTGGGCTCAAGACCTGGTTGAAGACCAGCCCAGGCAGTAAAGTCCCTTAGACTTTTAATAACCAGCAGAAAGGCACATTGGAGGCATGATGGCTCAAGTGGTAGAGCATTAGCCTAGCAAGGAGAGATCCCTTAGTCATCTAACAAGAGGGAAGGGAGATGAAAGAGAAAGGGAGAGAAAGAGAAAGAAAGATGCAATTTTGAATGGCGGGGGGGGGGGGGGGGGGGGGGGGGTCAAGCTTTCTGAATTGTTTAGGAAAAACATTGGCAATATACCATTCCTGGTTCTAGTGTCTGTCTGTCTGTCTGTCTGTCTGTCTATCTATCTATCTATCTATCTATCATTGCTCCTGCAAAATAACATGATCTAGCATTCCAATAGAAACAGTGTAACAAGAGTCTAAAAGTGAAGGATGATGATGAGGATAAGCTGCTTAATCACAGAAAAAAAAAATCTTCTGAAGAATAATAAACTATTCTGGATCATATAACTGTTTCTTTGCTGTACCATTAACTTGGATGTAAATACACCAAAACTGTACAGTCAGTCATATGTAAAACAATTGTACCTTTGGGACTATACTCTAAAGAAATAATCATACATTTATTTAAAACATTGTACATACAACCAAAGACAATAGTTTTTTTTTGTTTTTGTTTTTTTTTGTCAGTTTTGGGGCTTGAACTCTGGGCTTGGGCACTGTCCCTGAGCTCTTCAGCTCAAGGCGAGAGCTCTACTGCTTGAGCCACAGTGCCAATTCCAGTTTTCTACTGGTTTATTGGAGATAAGTCTTATGGACTTTACTGCCCAGGCTGGCTTTGAACTGTGGTCCTCAGATCTCAGCCTCCAGAGTAGCTAGGATTACAGGCATGAGCCACCGGCAACAACAGTTTTTAAAGACTAATCTAAGATACAAGAGCTGGGATTTGCATTCTAGTTACTCTTTAGCCATCTTTCTCAAATTCCTTTTTCTTCTTCTTCTGTGCTTGGCACTGGACTTGAACTCAGGGGCAGGGCACTGTCCTTTAACTTTTATGTTCAGGGCTGGTTGGTGTTCTACCACCTGAGCCATAACTCTATACTTCTGGCTTCTTGGTGGTTAACTGAAGGTAAGAGTTCCAGGGACTTTCTTGCCAGGGCTAGTTTTGATCTCAATCCTTATGTCTCAGCCTCTTGACTAGTTAGGATTACAGGTGTGAGCCATTGGTACCCAGCTCTATTTCTACTTTCTACCCCACATAATGCTGACAGTATTACAACTGGTTGTGTTTTTTGTGTGTATGGAGGGTGAGGGTAGGATGTGGGGGGAGGGCACAGCAGGATGCAGGAACCAAGGGCATGCTCAATACATACAATGGACAAAGTCAAGCTCTCACCTGTTCCAGATATTAGGACAGCCACTCTTGCCTTCTTTGGTTGGGTGGGGAGATGATTTTTCCGAGAGCCATTCACCAACAATGACCCATTTATGTTCATGGTTTCAATAAGATTCTTGACTTTCACTTGAGGGGAACCTTCATTTCAAATACAACCATAAAGAAGTAAACAACTTAGTAAGAATAATGGGTAGAAAATACTTTATGTGCTGGGCGCTGGTGGCTCACGCCTGTAATCCTAGCTACTCAGGAGGCTGAGATCTGAGGATCGCGGTTCAAAGCCAGCCCGGGCAGGAGAGACCGTGAGACTCCTATCTCCAATAAACCACCAGAAAACCGGAAGTGGTGCTGTAGCTCAAGTGGTAGAGCGCTCGCCTTGAGCTGAAGAGCTGAGGGACAGCGCCCAGGCCCAGAGTTCAAGCCCCACGACCGACAAAAAAAAAAAAAAAAAAAAAAAAACTTTATGTAAATTTTGAAGTACTGTATTTTATTCTGAAAAGAAGTAGGAAATTAAAAAACAAAAATGGGTATATATCATTTACCATTACTCATTTATTTATAAAACTTCCTGAGAACATATATAGTAAGTTACTTCCACTAAGAGCTGAAGACCAAATCATCATGTTGAAGCATACAGTGGATTGATACTGCCTGCTCTAATTCCAAATCTTTCTAGTTCCACTACTCAGCTTAGTGCTATGACTTCTTGTCTTTAGGGGGAAATCATGTGATCAGCAAAGCCATTCAACCACTTGGTACAAGATGTTGAGAAGAGGGGGTTTCTTATTGCAATGTGAACTGAAGAATGTTACCTTTTCAGTATTTGGAGGATCTGTCTGAAAATGAAACTTACCCAATGGAGGAAAATGCAGACAGAACAAGGTTAACAAGTTCTAACATTTCTGCTATTTTGTGTGTGTGTGTGTGTGTGTGTGTGTGTGTGTGTGTGTGTGTTAGTACTGAGGCTTGAACTCAGGGCTAGAGTGTTGTCCCTTAGCTTTTTCACGCTCTCTCTCTTTTTTTTTTTTGGTCGGTCGTGGGGCTTGAGGTGAGCGCTCTACCACTTGAGTCACAGCACCATTTCTGGTTTTCTGGTGGTTAATTAGAGATAAGGGTCTCATGGACTTTCCTGTCCAGGCTGGCTTTGAACTGTGATCCTCAGATCTCAGAGCCTCCTGAGTAGCAAGGATTACAGGAGTGAGCCACCGGTGCCCCTGGCCTGAGGATCAAAGTTTGAAGCTAGCTTGGGAATACAAACCTGAGAGACTCTATCTCTAAGTAACCAATAAAAAGTTGGAAGTGGGTTGGGCGTTGGTGGCTCATACTTGTAATCCTAGCTACTTGGGAGATTGAGATTGAGAACTGTGGTTCAAAGGAGCTCAGTCAGGAAAGCCTGTGAGATGCCAATCTCTATAATTAACTACCAAAAGATGGAAATGGTGCTGTGGGGGTCAAACTTGAGCACAAAAGCTTAAGGACAGTGCCCTGGCCCTGCGTTCAAGCCCTACAACTCCAAGGTAAAAAAAAAGTCCAAAGTGGAGATGTGGCTCAAGTGATAGTGTGTCTGCCTTGAGCAAAAGTGTTAAACAAGTGCACAAAGCCCCGAGTTCAAGTCTCAGTGCTAACAAAATTATAGGCCTAAAATCAAGAAAGGTGAGATCACCTTCAGGACATGCGACCACACTGCCGATCACCCAGGCTTCTTCCTGACGCTGATGAATCGCAGTCAGAATTTGTTCTGTTTGGTTCTTTGACACCACAAGAGCTGCTCCAACTCCACAGTTAAAGGTTCTGGCCATCTCTTCTTCTGAGAGCTGTCCTTCATGCTGTAACCATGAGAAGACCCTAGGGATCCTCCAGCTACGGGCATCTGAAAACAAGGAAGATAAGCAAGAGTTATTTACCCTATTGAATCACACAAGAAATACAGGAATGTAATTATACAGAGGTAACAGAAATCATAATCAGATGCTTATTTTTTTTTTTGTTGGTCATGGGGCTTGAACTCTGGGCCTAGGCTCTGTCTCTCACCTCTACAGCTCAAGGCTACCACTCTACCACTTGAGCCACAGTGCCACTGCTGGTTTTCTGAGTGGTTTATTGGAGATAAGAGTCTCCTGACCTTTCCTGCCCAGTCTGGCTTTGAACTGTGATCCCTCAGATCTCTGCCTCCTGAGTAGCTAAGATTATGGGTGTGAGCTATCGGCACCCGGCTTATTTTTTTTTTTTTTTTTCTTTTTGGTCCAGTTGTGGGGCCTGAAATCTGGGCCTGGGCGCTGTCCCTCAGCTCTTCAGTTCAAGGCTAGCGCTCTACCACTTGAGCCACAGCGCCACTTCCGGCTTTTTTCTTTTTGCTTATGTGGTGCTGAGGAATCGAACCCAGGGCCTCAGGCATGCAAGGCAAGCGCTCTACCACTGAGCCATCTTCCCAGCCCTTATTTTTGTTTTCTTTACTTGTCTTGTTGTTCATTTATCTGTCTTTGGGAGGGTAATGGAGAAATGCAGAAATGGAGGGACAAAGGGTGAACAAATGTAGCAGTGGTACTCATTAGACATTATGTTGAAAATGAGCTATATCACTTGTGGGTGAGGATGGGAGGAAAAACCTGGGAGAGAGCGAGGGAAGAGGTGACATTGTTCAAAAAGAAATGTATTCAAGCTGGGAAGGTGGCTCAGTGGTAGAGCGCTTGCCTTGCATGCTTGAGGCCCTGGGTTCGATTCCTCAGCACCACATAAGCATAAAAAGAAAAAAGCCAGAAGTGGCGCTCTGGCTCAAGTGGTAGAGTGCTAGCCTTGGGCTGAAGAGCTGAGGGACAGCACCCAGGCCCAGAGTTCAGGCTCCACGACCAGACCCAAAAAACAAACAAACAAACAAACAAAAAACAAAAGACTGTTGGGGCTGAGAAGGTGGCTCAGTGGTAGAGCGCTTGCCTTGCATTCATGAGGCCCTGGGCTCAATTCCTCAGCACCACATAAGCAAAAAGAAAAAAAAGAGAGAGAAAAACAGTCTGGGCTGGGAAGGTGGCTCAGTGGTAGAGCGCTTGCCTTGCATGCTCAAGGCCCTGGGTTTGATTCCTCAGCACCACATAAGCAAAAAGAAAAAAAAAAAAGCCGGAAGCGGTGCTGTGGCTCAAGTGGTAGAGCGCTAGCCTTGAGCTGAAGAGCTGAGGGACAGTGCCCAGGCCCAGAGTTCAGGCCCCATGACCGGATCCAAAAAAAAAAAAAGAAATGTATTCATTACTTGATTTAGGTAACTGTAACTCCTCTGTACATCACCTTTACAATAACAAAAAGAAATCTATCTATACCTTACACAATAAAAACCTTCTGTTTTTCTGACAGATTTGGCCACCTACGACACTTGAAGGTCCCCTTCCCCGCCTACTAGAGTTAAGACCTCAAAGCCATGTGGCTTGCTAGGCAGGTGTTCTACTACTTTTTGACCTAACTAAAATACACTGGTCTATCTAGTCCCCATCCTGGATCTGTGCTGTACTTTACACGGCTGACAAACACCATGTTAAATTCCTTCCTTCCTTAGCATTATTTTTTCTGCTGCTAGGGATTGAAACAAGGCCTCAGGACGTGCTCTGCCAGGGAACTATGTCCCCCAGATTGCCTTGGGAGGGATGACACCTTTATGGGGCTCAGCCTACTTGACTGTTCCAGTAATTTTCCCTCTGAGGAACTCCTTTTGGTCCCCTTTACTATGTACAGACGAGCACCCAATTTCTTTTCAGCTGATTTTAACTTCTGTCCACGGGCATGGAGTAATAAACACACTGAAGATCTTAAAAAAATGCACCCTACTCTCTCCTCCTGGGCTAGTGACTGATGCCTGCTCACTGGCTTGACCCTGGATGTCCTTTTGCTTCTGAGTGTAGATTAAATTATCATTCTGTCTCATTTTTTTTATTGCTGGGTTCAGGTCCTTTTTCTCTTGTGTAGATTACTTAGTTACCATTTCATTTCTAGGCAAGGAGGGTTCTCCTTCTTTAGTCTGATGTTACTAATTCCTTTGGAGGATGGATCTGCTTATTCCACATTGTCTTTATTTCCAGTTGCATGTCAGGATTTTATGCCTTTTAAAAGTGTGGCAAATAGAATAAAAAGATGTATAAAGGGGCCAGCCTATGTTCCCTTCAAATGCCCTCAATAGGAGAACTTTCCCTGTATAATCATGTATGCAATAACTATTACCCAGAGATTTCCTCCCACAGTACATATTTATCATTTCTTTGAAGAAAAGTTCTCTTTAGTGATCTTACCCAATTCTACCCCGAATTTCGGAGGCAGTACTCTGGGAATGTTTTCTAGCAGTCCTCCACCAGTAATATGAGCAAAGGCTTTGACATGTCCTGAACGGATGATGGGTAACAGTGAATGGCTGTAGATTCTAGTTGGAGTTAGGAGCAGATCCCCTGTAGGTTAGAGAAATAAGACCAAACTTACCCAACTAATATAAAATAATTCTGAAAGGGACAGAGACTGTGACCTGATATAGACATACAAGTTCTTTTTTTGGGTGGGGGTGGGGGTCAGGGGATGGAGGGGGGAGTAGCCAGTCCTGGGGCTTGAACTCAGGGTCTGGGTGCTCTCCCTAAGCTTCTCAAGTCTTCTGCTCTGCCCCTTGAGGTACAGCTCCACTTCAGCTTTTTGGTGGTTAGTTGGAGGTAAGAGTCTCACAGACTTTCCTGCCTAGGCTGGCTTCCAAGTGCAATCCTCAGATCTCAGCCTCCTGAGTAACCAGGATTACAGCCAGGAGCCACTGGCACCTGGGTAGACATACCAGTTCTATAATAATGTCCAAGCAGGAAAACCATAGGAAAATACAATTCATCCCATTCTAGCTTTACCCAATGAGAGACTAAACTTACTAATTAACTGCTCAGCTAATTAACTGCAAACAAGACAAGACGAGTTTACCTAGAGTCTGGTCACCACAACCATCAGGTGCTGGAGAGGAGTACTGGAGGGAAGATTTCTCCACTATTTTCCTCACAAGGCTAAAGCCATTGCTGTGAAGACCGGATGAGGCGATTCCAACAACAACATCGCCTTCAGTGATCCTCTCTAGGTGGGGGAGTTTCTGATCCCGCTCCATGGCACCAACGGCAAAACCAGCCAGATCATACTCGCCCGGAGGATACATGTCAGGCATTTCTGCTGTTTCTCCTCCTGGAAAATGAGATCAAAGACATCACATCGTATCTGCATAGCAACTGTGACATGACGCTTAAGATCCTATTGTTCTATTAGCTGTCCGACTGAATGATCAACCAAGCATGATTGCAAGGAAGACACAGATGAAGTCCCAGCTCTGTCAGTCCATATGCAGCTTCCCAACATGGCCACCGTTATGGGATCGTGCACCATTTCTATAATAGTTTGGTTTCAGAAATACTTTCGTACTCACAAAACCTTTACCATCACTCCATCTCCCAGGTAATGGCCAAGGCTTAGAGAAGTAATTTAGGACTGCCAACTCCAAATGTCTTTGCCACTACGTACAGCAGTATATACTTTGCACTCAACATACAAAGACAGAAAGTAGAGGCTGGCAGACTCCACATTAAAAACTGTGCTCTGAAACACAGTGGAAGGATAAATTTTGATCTTTTATATCCAATTTGTTCACAGAAATAATATCACTGAAGAAGTACTTTTGTGCCTTGGTTCACAAACAAATTTAGAGAAAATAAGTGTCATATATAAGTTAAGCAATAGTTCTATAAAACCTAGGTAATCTGGCTAGAAAATATGACGTTCCTAACTGTAACACCAGGAACCCATTTGTCCAGTGAGGGCCTAAGAAAGAGGAAAAACCCCTAAACTGGGAAAAGGTAGACTAAGAGTGGGGAGGAACTTCAGCATACACAACAGGCTGGGCGTGCAGGTCTGAGGGACAAATATTTGCAGAGGGTCGATGAATGGCATAGAGTCTAAGATGAATTCAGGTAGTTGTTTTGTTTTCTCCCCCTTTTCTCCCCTTTGTGGTACTAGGGCTTGAATTCGGCCTTGAGCTGACTAGGCAAGGCCTTTCCCACTAACCATACTTCCATGTGTTAATTCAGGTAGTTTAATCTAGATTCCATTTGCCATGTCTGGTGATGTAGTTTCTCACTAGTTAGGCTGGCACTGATTTTATTGATGCATTAAGACTGACACATAGAGAAAAGGATCTGCAGTTAAAACCATACCAAGAAGAGCACATCCAGCTTGTCTGCAAGCTTGAGCCACTCCAGCAACAACAGCTTCAGTTGTATTGACATCAAGTTTTCCACAGGAAAAGTAATCAAGGAAGAAGAGAGGCTCTGCTCCTTGAGCCAGAATGTCATTTACACACATGGCAACCAAATCTTGACCAATGGTATCGTGTTTATTGCACAGCTGGGCAATCTATAGAAGAACAAAACCACAGTAGAAAATAGGCTCCATGGGCATCTTCTCAGTTTACCCACAGACGGTAACAAATACTACAACTGGCTGGTTGCTTGTGACACCCAAGAGTGCTAAATTCCAAGAAGCTATTCCATCCCAAGTAATCTTTTTTATTCCTCAAAATTCCTTCTAAATATAGCCTCAACAATATTGTAGATATGTACACATATTTTAGACAAAGGGTTAAAATTTAGTCAGTTGGCATGGTTCTTTTAGCTCTTACATAAGACAAATATGTATTTGTATGGGGAATATAGACATGATTAAAAAAGGGGGACTATTTGAGAGCTAAATAGTGGGAGATCAAAAGGAGAGGGTGATAGGGAGGGATAAACGTGATATAGTACTTCATATGGATGTATAAAAACACAACAATGAAACCCATTAAAACTGTAAATACAAGTGGGGAGAAGGGAGTAAAGGATAAGAAAGTAATAGAAGGGGAAATGTGTCCAATGCCTGATGTACGGTTTCATCAAATGAAACCCCATGGTACAGTTAATGTATGCTAATAGAAAAACAAAGAAAAATGTCTAATAGGAAATTCCTTCTTATTGTTATTCAGTTTTTACCTTCAGTTTAGTCCCAACACCATCTGTTCCAGAGGCCAGAAGAGGATCTTTGAAACCTGCTGCTTTCAAATCAAAAAGACCAGCAAACCCTCCAAGGTCAACATCACAGCCTATTGGAGAGGAAATCAGTTATTTGCTGCATTGTAATAGATTAGTTCAGCATGAATATTCATGACTTTTTAAAATGGCTTAAAAATAACAAGATGATGGGAGGGAGTACCATTTACTCATAAGTACTGATCAATTAACTATAGGCTCATGCCCTAATCCTAGCTATAAAGAAGGCTGTGATCTGAGGATTATGTTTTGAAGCCAGCTAGGGCAGGAAAGTAAATGAGACTTTTATCTCCAGTGGTAGAGTGTTAGCCTTGAGCAAACAATCTAAAAACAGTGCCCAGTTCTGAGTTCAAGCACCAGTACTGGTGCACACACAAAAAAGAATTCACCAAGGCTGGCGCCTGGTGGCTCATGCCTATAATCCTAGCTACACAGGAGGCTAAGATCTGAGGATTACAGTTCCAAGCCAGCTCATGGACAAGAAAGTCTGTAAGACTCTTATCTCCAATAAAGCAACCAGAAAACTGGAAGTGGCACTGTGGTTCATGTGGTAGAACGCTAGCCTTGAGTGACAGAAGAGCTGAGTAACAGTGCCCAGGCCCAGAGTTTAAGCCCCATGACTGATTTAAAAAAAAAAAAAATTGACCAAGAAGGCAGAAGACCATATGAATTTGGTTTATGTAGACCGACACTCAGAAGAATCTTATACTAGTTTTGAAAAATGTCCTAAGTTAAATATAAAGCAAAAATCAATTCATGGTATCGGTTAACAAATTAGCAAAGTATAGGATCTGACCTGGTCTGGAGGTGGCTTTTGCTAAAGGTTTAATTTTCTTAACCAGCATATTTCCAGCTGCAATGTCTACCCCCGATTCCTTGTATGTCAGGCCCCTAAGGAAATGAAAAGAAGAAAGAGATCATTTTAACACTAGCGAACATTTTAATCTTGAAAACAAAGCAGAAGACATTCCAGGTTATTTTCACAATATATATTCATCAATGCCTGGACCCCATCCATACAGATTCAGACTTAAATGATTTAGAGTAGGCCCTAGGAATTTATCCAGGAATGTGCGTAGGCAGGAAATGAAAACTCATGCCTATATTCTTAGCTACTCAGGAGGCTGAAATCTAAGGATTGTGGTTCAAAGCCAGCCTAGGCAGGAAAGTCTGGGAGACTCTTATCTCCAATCAACCACCAGAAAACCGGAAGTGGCACATGCCTCAAGTGGTAGAGCCCTATCCTTGAGCTGAAGAGTTGAGGGAAAGCACCCAGACTCAGAGTTCAAGGCCCACGACCGACAAAAAATAAAAAAATAAAAAAAATTACCAAACCCAGCTGAGTACTAGTGGCTCACACCTGTAATCCTAGCTACTCAGGATTACAGTTTAAAGCCAGTCTAGGTAGCAAAGTCCCTAAGACTCTTAAATCTCCAATTAACCACCTAAAAACTGGAAGTGGCTTAAAATGTTAGAGCATTGGCCTTGAACAAGAAGCTCAGGGACAGTGCCTACGACCACGTGTCCCCCCAAACAAAAAATAAAAAACACCTGGTAATGACACTTAATATTTTTTAGAAATTACACTTGTGAATTTCATTGAAAAAATAAGTGAAATTTTATTAAAAATAAGCTGTTGGGCTGCAAGTAGTTGAGAGCATTTAACTCAGCAGCCCAGAGTCACTCTTTCATAGACACTGGCTTTAAAACCATTCTTGGCAGTGGCTCAAACCTGTAATCTAAGCTACTCAGGAGGCTGAGTTCTGAGGATCTTGGTTCAAAGCCAGCAAAGGCAGGAAAGTCCTATGTAACACTTATCTCCAACTGACCACCCAGAAGTTTTAAGTTGAGCTGTGGTTCAAGTGGTAGAGTGCTATTCTTGAGTGGACAAAGGTCAGGGACAGTGCCCAGGCTAAGTTCAACTCCCAGGATTGGCACCAAAAAACCATTCTCAGAAAAAAAAGAAAATACAACTAAAAACCCTACTCAATTGCAGCTAAAAGTTTATTGATTTTACAAGTAATAGTACATGTCAACTTAATGAATCACTAAGCATCAAAATTATACATTAGTAACAAAGATGCAATGACAAAATGATATTGCCTAGATTTATGGAGTAATCAGATTAAGCTATCTTGTGGCATTATGGCATCTCATCTTTAAAGAATTCACACCGAGCTCAGAACCAGTGGTTCATGCCTATAATCCTAGCTACTCACGAGGCTGAGATCTGTGGATCACAGCTTGAAGCTAGCCTGGGCAACGAAAGTCCCAGAGACTCTTATCTCCAATTAACCAGCAAAAAGCCAGAAGTGGAGCTGTGGTTCAAGTGTAGAGCACTAGCCTTGAGCGAAAGAAGCTTAGGGGTAAGCACCCAGTCTCTGAGTTCAAGCCACAGGACTGTAACAAGAAAAAACCAACCCAGGTATGAGGGGTTCATACCTGTATTTCTAGGTATTCAAGAAGATGAGAGAGAGATGGATCATGGTTCATAGACAGCTTAGGCAGAAAAGTCCTTGACACTCCTTCTTTGAGATACCCAGCAAAAAAATCAAGCTGGAGTCATGGCTCATGTGGTAGAACACCCAATTTAACAAGCTAGCTGGGTGTGAGGCCTAAATTCAAACACTCTACCAAGTGCTCCTTCCCCACACACAAAAAAATTAGCACATCATTTAATATTACTTATTCTAAAATATTTCCAATGTTTATAACTTCAAAAATTTTGCTTGATATTAGGACAGGAATTAAGTTGCTAAAAAATAATTTACCAAAGGACTGAATAAAAAACCAATTCTTAGGAAATGACTGGGCATAGTATTTGTAGTTCCAGCTTGTAGGGGGCAGAGATCAGGATGATTGTGACTGGAAATATGCTTGATCAGAACAGTTTACAAGATGCCATCTTAGCAAACAAGCTGGGCAGGGTGGTTCACACTTGCCATCCCAGTTATTAGGGAAGCACAGGTAAGAAGCTCTCAGTTCAAGGGTGACTCCGGTCAATAAACAAAAGGAAAAAAAAATGGGCTGGGATGTGTGGCTCAAGAATGAGGCCCAAGTTCCAATCCCCAATACAGGGAGAAAACAACAACAACAACAAAAAAAAACCAGAAAAAAAAAAAAGAAATTCTGAAAAACAAAATACAACAAAAACCCCACACAAATTGCAACCAAAAGTTTATTGATTTTACAAATAGTAGTATATATCAATTAAACGAATCATTAAGGATCAAAATTATACTTTAGTAACAAAGATGCAGCAACAAAATGATATTGCTCAGATTTACAGAGAAATCAGATTAAGGCTAGAAAGACTAACATTCTCACATTGAGTTGCGTGATAAAGCCAGAACTGTGATTTCAACACAACCGAACATAACTGATGATTCAAGGATTAAAAACCTTTGATCACTTGATCCTGTTAATCTTTTGTTTTTTGTTTTTGTTGGTTGTGGGGCCTGAACTCTGGGCCTTGGCGCTATCCCTCAGCTCTTCAACTCAAGGCAAGCGCTGTACCACTTGAGCCACAGTGCCACTTGAGCCACAGCACCACTCCTGGTTTTCTGAGTGATTTATTGGAGATAAGAATCTCACAGACTTTCTTGCTTCGGTTGGCTCTGAACTGTTTTCCTCAGTTCTCAGCCTCCTAAGTAGCTAGGATTACAGACTTGAGCCACCTGCACCCTGATTCTGTTAATCTTTTAAAAGAAGCACTGTGAAGTTTCTTCCACTTAATTTGAATATTGCCATAAACAGTTGTGAGATGGGTTGGATCCGGTTCAGTAAATAGAAGATAGACCAAGATTAGATCATCTCCAGAGAAAAGAATACAGAATGACTTGGTATACAAAGGACTAATACAGAGAAAAAAGAATACAGAATGACTTAGTATAGAAGGCCACATAGGTTTGGAGGTGTGGTGCAGCTGGTAGAGAAGGCGATAACCCTTCCCTTATAGCCATTTAAGTCTGCAACTGCCCAAAACCACCTCAGAAGAGGGTTTTTGTTTTACCTGGGCTGTTGGAGGAAAGCTATGGCCCGAAAGCCGATGTCCCTTCTATAAACTGCTCCCTCAAACTTTATCACAGCAAGTCCTTTCTTGGCTTCTTCCAGGGCCAGTAGGAGATTCTCCCGGATAGCTGTCACTGTAAGGACTCTGCCCCCACTGGTTACCACTTTGCCATCTTTAAGAGAAGTGCCAGCATGGAACACCTCTAGTCCTAAGGCTTGAGCTTCAGAAAACCCTGTAAAAGAGCATATTTGACATAGGGTGAGAATAGCAGGGTCACAGTGTGAAGTAACTAAAAACAAATTGTTTTTGGTCAGGCGTGGGGCCTGGGCGCTGCCCCTCAGCTCTTCAGCTCAAGGCTAGCGCTCTACCACTTGAGCCAAAGTGCAACTTCCAGCTTTTTCTGCTTATGTGGGGCTGAGGAATCGGACCAGGGCCTCATGCATGTGAGGCAAGCAATCTACCACTGAGCCACCTTCCCAGCCCAGGGATGCCAACTTTCTTTCCCAAACCTTGTGATATTGTTAATCTCATAAAAATTATTATTGGGGGCCGAGGCTGTGGCTCCAGTGGTAATGAGCCTGCTGACAAGCAGGAGTGATGGAAAATGACTTAAGCTGAAAACACCTATTTTCTCACTTGACAGCCACATCCTGAAAAATTCCAGAAGTGCCCTTGCTGCAGACCATGCTAAATCATTCCTTCATCTCTCTCCTCCCCCAACACTCCCTCGGTGGTAAGAGACAGAATCTGTGCACGGAGGGCCATACAGTTTGGTGACACAGTTTGGTGACAAGATGCTGTAAAAACTCCTTTCCTGAAACTCAAGATGAGATTCCCTTATGTATCAAGAGCCCCTGCTCCTGTTCCCATACGACCACCATCCCCCACCCCACCCCCAGGACTTTACTTTTCTGCCTAATAAAAGAGATCTTCCTTGTAAGGAAATCACACCATTCCTTCTTTAGTTGGGCTGAAGGGAATATGGTTTCCCTTTGAGGTTTCAGTCTAATAAACTTGTTGACCCAAGGGTTTGTCTTTCTGATCTTTATTTAATCCTTGGGGACTTGAAAAAACATAGGACTGGCCTAGCACTGGTGGCTCACGCCTATAATCCTAGCTACTCAGGAGGCTGAGAACTGAGGATTGGGGTTCCAAGCCAGCCCAGGCAGGAAAGTCTATGAGAATAAACCACCAGAAAACTGGAAGTGGAGCTGTGGCTCAAGTGGTAGAGCGCTGGCCTTGAGCTGAAGAGCTGAGGGACAGTGCCCAGGCCCAGAGTTCAAGCCCCATGACCAACAAAAATAAAAACAAACGAATCATCAGAGTAACTATAATGCAACAAATGATCCTAAATAATTCTTTTTTTTTTTTTTTTGGGTCTGGTCGTGGGGCCTGAACTTTGGGCTTGGGCGCTGTCCCTCAGCTCTTCAGCTTAAGGCTAGCGTTCTACCACTTGAGCCACAGCGCCACTTCCAGTTTTTTTCTTATGTGGTGCTGAGGAATCGAACCCAGGGCCTCAGGCATGCAAGGCAAGTGCTCTACCACTGAGCCAACTTCCCAGCCCCCATCCTAAATAATTCTTTCACTTCAGACAAATTTGGCTCAAATTTCATTGTTTCATTTGCTCTTGAATAGTTTTTCATAGATAATTCTTCCTTATTTAAAACACTATTAGAAGTCAGATAGTTCATTCCTGTAATCTAAGCTACTCTGGAGGCTGAAAGCTAAGGGTCGCAGTTTGAAGCTAGTCCAGAGTAAGTCTGAGACTCTTACCTCCAATTAGTCAGCAAACAAGCCAGAAGTGGAAGTGTGGCTCCAGTGGTAGAGTGAATAAGCTGAGGGGCAGCACCCATGCGCTGGGTTTAAGCCTCAGGCACACACACAATCAAGCATGGAGCTTTGTTATGAGTCAGTTAACACATTCTAAGCCAACCTCTTGTTCCCTGGGGCTCACCTGTTATCTCTGTACCCTTCGTGTAGGCTCCAGGATAACCTTTACTTGCCATGACAACCGTTATGGCAGAGTGGCTTTCCAGCCAAATGGGTAGAGATGCACTCAGTCGGCCATCTAGGGTGGACTGAATCACTTCATAAAGATCACTCTGAAGAAGTGGGAGGATTACCTAACCAAAAAATAAAAATAAAAAAAATAAAAAAATCAATTACCATGGCAGGTGAGATAAATGTATGTTTTCCTTAACATAATATTTACCAGAGGTCTAGCAGAGCTTGCAAATGCTTCTCAGAGGCAATGATATCAAAGCTAGAAATCCGGAGATCAGAACAATACACACCTCCCACAAAGTCATATTTTATTGTCACACTTTACTTATTATTACCCACTTGGCACTCTGGATCACCAAAACGGCAATTAAATTCCAGAACCTTCGGGCCGCCCTTGGTCAGCATTATGCCAGCATAAAGAATTCCTTTATTAAAAAAAAAAAGACAAGAAGGAAATTGGTGACAATGACGTATTTTATGACTATGCAATCTAGACCACATGCTACCAATATTCAATGTTTTAGAATAGCCCTAAACATTCTAACAATGGCAAATTGAAATATGGCTGAAACCCCCCCAAAACAGATGTTTCATCACAAGTGTAAAAACATTGTAAATGGTGCCCAGGGCCCCTGTGCTCACCTGTATATGGCGTACCCTCTTGCTGCATGCCTTCTACCACCCTCTGAAGAACAGTGTTCTTAATTTCCAGTAACAAATCCATAGGAACCTACAAACATACAGGAACATATAAATATAAGTGGAGTTCAAAAAAAAAATCAGGTTTTAAAGTATCAGCTGGGGGCTGGGAAGGTGGCTCAGTGGCAGAGCGCTTGCCTTGCATGCATGAGGCCCTGGGTTTGAGTCCTCAGCACCACATAAGCAAAAAGAAAAACGCCGGAAGTGGCACTGTGGCTCAAGTGATAGAGCACTAGCTTTGAGTTGAAGAGCTGAGGGACAGTACCCAGGCCCAGAGTTCAGGCCCCACAACCAGACCCCCCCCCCAAAAAAAAAAAAAAAAAGAAATAAAAAAAAGAAAAAAGAAGTATCAGCTGGAAGAATGGAAGGAACAAGAAGGAGCTTCTTTCAGTACACCACCCCAGGACAGGATCATGTACTTATTAAAAATGCAAATTTATTAAAAACTCATTTATCATCCTTACGACGTACCATCAAGTAAGTATTTCAGCCTTAATCTTTACAGAATAGGAATGAAATCCAAGAGCTACAATATATTCCATACAAAAGGAAAAACGTATTCCACACAAGAGGACACGCGAAGAATCTGCGCTCTTGCCTGTGTTGTGTTGCATTCTCAACACCTTGCCTAACAGATGGAAATTCACTTCTGTTTTTTTGATGATGCTAGAGGTTGAAATACATCTCTTGTTTTCTAGGTGGGTGCTCTACTACTTAAGCCATACGCCAGCCTTCTGGCTTTGGTTATTTTTTGCATGGGTCTCATGCTTGGGCCAGCCTCCATTTGTTTCTCAAATACCTAGGATAATAGCTGTGTGCTACTATGCCCAGCAATTGATTGAGATGGGTTTTACGCAGGCTGGCCATGAACTACAATCCTCCCAATCTCTGCTTCCCAAGTAGATGGGACAACTAGTGTGTGTTAGAGGGTCTATAAAACCTGAAGTTTTAAGTAATAAATGCTCTGAATCTGATAAATTAGCACGACCAGATGATGAATTATGTACTTATCATAAAACAACCAATCAGCTGATCATCATTTCATGATTAAGATAAATTGCTAAACAAACTCATTAATTTTCAAAAACATTCCCTTAAAGTTCACTTTAATTTCCTGAAAAATGTTGAAAGTGAAAAAAACCCCTCTCACCTTGATGCTTTTATATCCTTCCAATATACTTTATGCTTATTTCATAAGCATGTACTTGTGAATCTTTTATAAATTTGATTGTGAAATCACTCTTACCAAAGGCAGTTTCAACATACTTACAAAGCCCAATAAAAAGTAGTTTGTGGGGGTGCTCGTGGCTCCTATCTATAATTCTAGCTACTTAGGGGGTGAGATGTGAGAATGGTGGGTTGAAGCCAGACTGGGCAGGAAAGTCCAGCTCCACAGAGGAGCTGGAGCTCAACTGGAGAGTGCTTGTCTAGAGAAAAAGAAGTATAATGCTGATCCTGGGGCTTTAATTCAATGCCTGGGCGCAGTCCCTGAGCTTTTCTGTTCAAGGCTACTACTCTTCACTTGAGCCACAGCTCCACTTCCAGCTTTCTCTTAGTTGTTTTTTGTTGGTCATGGCATGGGGCTTGAACTCAGGTCCTGGGCACTGTCCCTGAGCTTTTTTGCTTGAGGCTACTGCTCTACCACTTTACAGTGACACTTCCAGTTTTTTGGTGGTTCATTGGAGATAAGTCTTATAGGCTTTCCTGCCCAGGGTTGGTTTTGAATTGTGATCCTCAGATTTCAGCCTCCTGAGTAGCTAGGATTATAGGCGTAAGCCACCAGTATCTAGCCATTTTTAATATTATAATCAAGAACAATATCTAAAGGTGCTATATTAGCACAATTATGACCATCAACAATGAAAAAAAATGGATGTTTCTGCAGTAGTAATATACTCATACTCCAAGATGCAGATATTTATAAACACTGCCCAGAAATGGTTTGAAAACATTATCCAACAGTTATAAAGTAGACAGACCAGAGGAAAATCTATGGTCTAACTTGGTCTCAATTAATATCTACCTCCCTTGTCCCATCCCCACTTTAGGTGCTGAGGCCCTGGAAATCCAAGCAGAGAAAGACAGTTTTAAAGTGTGCTTAAAATTGAATATAGAGGGGAGATGAGAGGATCTATTTGATTCTTACTATATTTCAAACTAGTTCAAAATTAGACTATTTGAGTTCTTCAATTCTTTTTTTTTTTGGGGGGGGAAGGGGGGGTCCGGTCGTGGGGCCTGAACTCTGGGCCTGGCCACTGTCCCTCAGCCCTTCAGCTCAAGGCTAGCGCTCTACCACTCGAGCCACAGTGCCACTTCCAGCTTTTTTCTTTTTTGCTTATGTGGTGCTGAGGAATCGAACCCAGGACCTCATGCATGCAAGGCAAGCGCTCTACCACTGAGCCATGTTCCCAGCCCATTGGATTCTTCAATTCTTTTAGAAAAGGTTCGTTTCAGAGATAGTCATTGTAATTGATAGAAACAAAAAATTAAAACTAAATAGAGCCAGGCACTAGTGGCTCACGCCTGTAACCCTAGCTACTCAGGAGGCTGAGATCTGAGGATTGCAGTTCAAAGCCAGCCTGTGCAGGAAAGTCTGTGAGACTCTTATCTCCAATAAAACCACCAGAAAACCGGAAGTGGTGCTGTAGCTCAAGTGGTAGAGCGCTCGCCTTGAGCTGAAGAGCTGAGGGACAGCGCCCAGGCCCAGAGTTCAAGCCCCACAACCAACAACAACAACAACAACAACAACAACATCAACATCAACAACAACAAACTAAATAGAAAAGTATCACGTAAGAACTGTTGGAGTTGCCTAAATCATAACAACTGAATTTGCACAGAGCTTCAGCAAGTACCTGAGGTGCTGGACAATAGGCTCCCATCCCCCCTGTGTTGGGGCCCTGATCGCCTTCCAGTAATCGCTTGTGGTCTTGTGCCGGGGGCATGGGGGCCACTGTCTTCCCATCAGTGAAACACAGACACTATGGAGAAAACAAACAAAAATTCCACTTAGGTGAAATGCCAAAACAGTAAATATGTAATAAGAAATTAAATAGTCTGGGGCAAGTGGCTCATGCCTGTAATCCTAACTATTCAGGAGGCTGAGATCTGAGGACTGAGGTTCAAAGCCTGCTCTGGCATTAAAGTCCGTGAGGCTCTTATCTCCAATTAACCACCTAAAAACCAGAAGTGGTGCTGTGGCTCAAATGGTAGAGTGCTGGCCTTGAGCTGAAGAGCTGAGGGACAGCACCCAGGCCTAGAGTTCTAGCCCCACAACTCCCCCCCAGCCCCCCCAAAAAAAGATAGAAAAAAGAAAAAAGAAACTAAACAGTATGTATCTTAACTCTTCAAGGAAAAGATTTTCTTTTGTAAAGAAAAGTTATGTTATGTGAAACAGAAATAACCTATACACATCAAGAAGCAGATCTTGTACACCCAATTTACAAAGCAATTGGGGATTATTCAGCCCGAGTGCCGTATGCGCCCTGTCAAACCATTTGGTGTAGCTCTGACCAAGCATCTAAGGCAGGACTCAAAATTCAACAAATCAAGCTCAAGGCTGGGCGCTGTTGGCTCACGCGTGTAATCCTAGCTACTCAGGAAGCTGAGATCTGAGGATCGCAGTTCAAAGCCAGCCTGGGCAGGAAAGTCCTGGAGACTCTTATCTCCAATACAAAAACCACTAGAAAACCGGAAGTGGCGCTGTGGCTCAAGAGGTAGAGCACTCGGCTCGCCCTGAGCTGAAGAACACAGGGACAGTGCCCAAGCCGAGTTCAAGCCCCACGACTGAACAAAAAATAAAAATAAAAAAAAAATAAAAAAATAAATCAAGCTCAAAATTCAATAAATCCAAGCTCAATTCAATAAATGTTAGAAATATGCAGATGGCCTTGAGTAGAAAAAGAGATTCCTTACCACAGTAAGAAATTCTAATTTTTTGTAAAGATTTTTTTTCATATGTTGCCTTTTTTGTAAAAAGACTTTTTTCAATTTTGATTCTAAGTAGGAATTCAAACAGTTTTAATTCAATAAATCAGTTTATAAGCACAACGTATATTGGTCAGTGTTTTCTGTAAGCAGCTACAATTTTTGAATTCAGCTCAGGAAAAATTAATCTAATAATAAAATATTTCAATGCTTTTAGCTTGGAAGCATCTGGTCACTAAAGCTTTATTCCTGGTAACTACTTTTACTACTTAGTATATGGTAAACTATGTAAATATTATAAGTAATAAAATATAAACATAAAATAAGTAAATAAAAATTAAAATAAATAATGAAATGAAGTGCATAATAAAAATATTGAAAACAAAAACTATGAATGCTTGAATTAGCCCAGAACTTCAACAAGGTATTTATATAAACCCAAATGCCCTCAAATGGATATACTGGGTATGATTAAGAGGATACATTATTTGTCCATTTGAATCCCAAATGTTATAAAAGCCAAAAAAGGAATATACATACAGACACTTCTTCTCCTTCAAGAAGTTCTTCAATGACGATTGTTTCTCCAGCTGCTCCAAAAGCCTTTTCCTAATTGTAGGTTTTTGTAAAACCAAACCAAACAAAAACAGAAAAGAAAAGAAAAGAAAAAAAGAATCTGGGTCAATTGGTAAGACCCTACAGTTGATTTCTAAATAATGAAAGGGTATGTGAACACTGTCATCTTTCTCATCTGAAAGATAGATGAAAACATATAAACAACCTGTAACACTATAGTGATCTAGACCTAACATTGCTACAGAGGAAATGAACACATAATTAATGCATGATTAGTCCTCTCATAAGGTGGGGAAAAATTGTTTCATGACAGTTTAAGCTTTATTCCTGATTATGAGCATATATGTTTGTCTACAATAATTATGCTAAAGCACGCCTGTGAAAGTAGGTTTCTGTAAGGTGGTTAAGGCAGGCCATGAAATAATTTTATAATCATTCACTGCTTCACTTCTTAGACCTGGAATACAAGGTACAAAGTTTTACCCTAATGGATGACTGGAGAATTATCTGTTGTTGGTGCTAGGGCTTGAACTTGCCCACATCTGGCTTTTTTGGCCATGGATGGCACACTACCATTTGCGTCACACCTTCATTTCTGGCTTCTTGCCCAGGATGGCTTTGAATCAAGATCTTCAGATCTTAGTCTCCTAAGAAGCTAGAATTACAGGCGTGAGCCACCAGTGCCCAGCAGGAGAATTTCTATGTTCTATAGTCTGAAAACTTTTGAGCTTTCAGTAGCAGATCAGCAAAGGATGTTAGTCAAGGATGGTTTAGTCAACATTGTGGGTGTGATGTGTGTTTTTGTGTATACATATTCACATTTACATTTATTAACAACTCTGTATGCTGGTAGAATTTCCTGTCTTTAGGAACATTTTGTAAACACAAAGAAATACTTATCTTGGGGGAGGGTGGGGTGCGGGAAGGATGGGATAGGAAGGGGAAACAAAGGAGGAGTCTATAATGCTCGATAAGAAATGTACTCATTATCTTGCCAATGTAATTGTAACCCCTCTGTACAGTATTTTCACAATTAAAAAAAAAAAAAAAAAAGAAGGGGGGGGAGTTATTGGTATTTAAGCCTGGTGTGGTGGCTTACACTGATAATCCTAGCTACTCAGGAGATCTGAGATCTGAGGTTCACAGTTCAAAGCCAGCCCAGGCAGGGAAGTCCATGAGACTCTGATCTCCAATCAACCACCAGAAAACTTGAGGAGGTGCTATGGCTCAAAGTATTAGAGCACTAGCAGTGAGCAAAAAGAGCTTAAGAACAGTGCCCAGGCCATGAGTTGAAGCCCCATGACTGACAAAAAATAAAATAAAAAAGGTTATTGCTACAAAAAAAAAAGAAAAGAAATACTTATCCTGTGTGAGTAGATAAAAAAATTCTAGAAGCATTGACTTACCTGCATAATCTCTTGTACAGCCTTGCAGGCCTCTTCTTTGCTCTTTGCAACAATCACCCCTTTTCCAGCTGCAAGACCACTGGCTTTCACCACCAATGCAGGGAAGTCTGCACTGTGAAGACAGAGCAACTTCAGCACTCAATAAGCCCTTATGACTCAAAATTATCAACTGTTTTGGAATTCTGTAATATGCTACAGCAACAACTCAAAGGCAAAAAGAAAAATTATCATTCCAATACCATTTTTATGTACTTCTCACCTGGATTTTTTTTTTTTTTTTTTTTAGTCATGGGGCTTGAACTCAGGGCTTGCGCTTTTTTAATTTTTCCCCACTCCAGACTAGTGTTGTACTACTTTGAGCCACAGTGCCACTTCTGTTTCCCCCCGGCCTCCCCACTTCTGGTGGTTAACTAGAGATAAGAGTCTCACAGACTTTCCTGCCTACGGTGACTCTGAATTTTTATCCTCAGCTCTCAGGCTCCTGAGTAGCTAGGATTGTAGATGTGAGCCACTGGCCCAGATTTTTTGTTTGTTTATAGGTTCCTTTTTCTTTTTTCTTTTTTTTTTGGAGCTGGAACTAGGCCTTGAATTTAGGGCCTCACTAAGCCTAGTGCTCTACTATTTGAGCACACTCCCAGCTTTTTTGCTTGTTAATTAGAAACAAGAATCTCTCTGGGCTGGGAAGGTTGCTCAGTGGTAGTAGTGCTTGCCTTGCATGCATGAGGCCCTAGGTTCGATTCCTTAGCACCACATAAGCAAAAAAAGCTGGAAGTGGCGCTGTGGCTTAAGTGGTAGAGCACTAGCCTTGAGCTGAAGAGCTGAGGGACAGCGCCCAGGCCCAAAGTTCAGGCCCCATGACTGACCAGAAATAAAAAAGGAAAAAGTAAAGAATCTCATGGGCGGAGCTGTGGCTCAAGTGGTAGAGCACACGCCTTGAGCTGAAGAAGCCCAGGCACCGAGTTCAAGCACCAACACCGACCAAAATAAATCAGTCAAGAAGCTTTGGGCTGGGAAGATAGCTCAGTGGTAGAGCGCTTGCCTTGCATGCCTGAGGCCCTGGGTTCAATTCCTCAGCACCACATAAGCAGAAAAAGCCGGAAGTGGCGCTGTGGCTCAAGTGGTAGAACGCTAGCCTTGAGCTGAAGAGCTGAAGGACAGCGCCCAGGCCCAGAGTTCAGGCCCCATGACTGGACCCAAAAAAAAAAAAAAAAAAAAAAGAATCTCATGGGCTTTGCTGGCTTTGAACTGCAATCCTCAGATCTGGGCTTCCTGAGTAGCTATGATTACAGATATGAGTCACCAGTGCCTGGCTTCCTCTAGTTTCTAAGACACAGTATATACAATTTTGTTTTTTCATAGAACTTTTAGAATAAGTAGGTTCTTAGAGTAGAGATAGAATGATCTTTACAATACAAAGTCAGCTTGTCATTTAAGTACAAGATGTGGTGGAATTCAACCAAAATAGACCTATAGACCATTTCTGAAGTATACTGTAAAGGTATAGAGTGAAAGTGGGGATCTGGAAGGAGGTTAACCTAAAGTATATAACATACTTGTTACTTACCTAAGCATCTAGCTACCAGGAAATAATAATATCCAGTGCCTAAGAAAGTCCTGTAGGATGAACAATGAATAAAGAATAACCTGACCTAACTGATGGCAAAGACACCACGTAGCAGGGACTGGCAACAAAAAATAGGCAAACGCTGTCTGTCAACCTCATTAATTACTCAATATTTTCCATTTCTGTGGACATACGTAAGTGGAAAGGGAAGAGAAGATGTTTAATTTTCAGATTTAGAAAGTACTGGGGGGCAGATGACCAAACCGCTCTTTCTTCTAGTTAATTATTTGTGACAAGAATCACTAAGTGCCACTGTGTCAGATGTTATGAAGAACATGTGACTTATGGAATCAAGTTTATTATTGCCCTTAAAAACTACTTACTAAGAAACATCAGATTTCATCTTTCTGTAATGCTGCAATATTCTATATAGTTTTATCTTATTTTGGTGTTAGCAAAAGATAACTTGCTGAATATTTACTAAGAATATTATTTTTCTGTAATGATTTCATGGCAAACCATACAGCCTACGGACCAAACATAATGTTTTCAACATAAAAGTAACTTTAAGTAAATTTCATTAAAAATCAACTGCCCTTTACAGATAGCCCATGACATACTTCATAATGAAGCTGCAGGCCTCTTCAAGTTTGGTGAAAGCTCTCCATCGTGCAGTTGGGATCCCATGTCGGTCCATGAACTCTTTGGCAAATCTTTTGCTGGACTCCAACTGAGCTGCTTCTGCTGTGGGGCCGAAGCATCGTACTCCTGCAGAGGTCAGGTCTCCAACAATTCCTACAGATGCAAACAGTCACTTATGGGACCCAGTGTCTCTCTGGGGAGAGGACTGGTGGCAGAACTTGTTTTTAACGTTGTCTACATTTAAAAACCAAATGCTAGCAAGAGGCAACTCAAATCTAGCAGAGAAGCTGGGCAATGGGGGTCATGTCCGAAATCCCAGCTGGTCAGGAGGCTGAGGTAGGAGGAATGTTTATGCCCATTTGCTGGAGCTCAGACTGGGCAACAAAGCAATACCTCTTATAAATTAGAACAACAAAAAAGTCAACAGCCAGGCACCAGTGGTTCATGCCTATAACCGTAGCTACTCAGGTAGCTGAGATCTGAGGACCACAATTTGAAGTCCAGTACAGCCAGCAAAGTCCACAAGACTCCTATCTCCAATTAACCACAATAAAGTCAGAAGTGGATCTGTGGCTCAAGGGGTATAGAGCTTGCTTTGAGCTAAAAAAAAAAAAAAATGCTTAGCAACAGTGTCGAGACCCTGAGTTCAATCTCCAGGACGAGCTAAAAAATAAACAAATAAATAGAAGTACACTTACCAGCAGCCAGAGGTGCCTCAGGTCCAACAACTACAAACTCAATTTTCTCATCTTTGCAGAACTGAGCAAGGGCAGTGTGATTACTGACGGGGATAGCTGTGAATAGAGAACATAATCCACCATATTTAGAAGATGTTTCAGTTAACTAAGTAAACAAAAGTTAAGTACACTTCATTTCACCACAGAAAGCATTAAGCTACAGAACATCGCATGTCTGCTATCATCATGTAGCCAATTAGATGATGGGAATACGAGTGAACTTCTCTAAGGGCTATAAATCATGAATGGTCCACAGTACCAGTGTGGGTTGTATAGTAAACAAATGACAACACCTGTCAAATGTGCAGGCTTGTGCCAGTAAGTCTAGCTACATGGGAGGTGGAGATCTAGAAGATTCTGGTTTGAGACTGACCCAAGCAAAATGAAACAGTACATCTTTACAAACAAGTGGAACGTGCCCTTGGTCCTAGCTATATAGGAGTATGTAAGTAGCAGGATGGAGATCCTGCAAGTCTGGGCGCTGATGGCAAGTCTATAATCCTAGGAGGTTGAGATCTGAAGACTACAGCAAGTCAGACAGAAAGTCTGTAAGACTTTCATTTTCAATAAACTACCAAAAAGACAATCCTGGAACTGTGGTAAAAGTGCCAGTCTTGAGCACAAAAGCTCAGGGACAGTGCCTAGGCCCTGAGTTCGAGAACTGGGAATGGCACACACACATACGCACGCACGCACGCACGCACGCACGCACGCGTGCACACATACCCACCAGGAAATTCAACCTTATGAACACTGGGCTACCTTAAATTTACAACATATTGCAAGTATTCACATTACCACATAAATATGTAAAGTTAAGGTATTCATTCACGATGGAAAATGACTTAAACTAAAAGCACTCAGCTTTCCCCTTGCAGCCACATCTTAGAACTCTCGTGGTTGCTGAGCCAGCTGAATTTCCACTCCCCTTTCCCCTGAACAAATGTACACAGTAGTCTTGGAAGAGAGCCTGAGATCAAGGACACATCTGACGTTGACACCTCTGGTGGACACAGAGGCTGCTGAAACCTTGAAACGCCTCAGTCAAAATAAGATTGCTTTTCTACCATGTCTCTACCTCACCAACTTCATTCATTCTGATGAATATTTCAAGAGACTCTAGTTATAAGAGGGGCATGCTATTTTGCTATTTCCCCTTCAGGCAGGCTGAAGGATACTTGGCTGTCCTTCCCAGGTTTTTCTTCTGAATAAAGCCTGTTGGTCTTTGAGTTCATCCTTTCTGTTCTTTCTCTTTTATTAAAATTCAAACTTGAATAAGGGCAAATAGGATCTATAGTTCATAATTAACTATTAGTTCCACTTTTTGAAATATAATTACCTGTATTTGAAATCTTTCCAGAGCAGGCAGTGCCTGCATTTCCTGGGGCAACCAACACTTGTTTGACATGATGAGACTGTGCAAGTTTCCAGGCCAATGTATGCTCCCTTCCGCCACTTCCAATTACAAGTACTCGGGCTGTCATTGCTTCCTGCAGAGTTGGAATTTAAAAGGAAAACAAATCTGTGGAAAGAAAGTCACAGTTGACACGTCACAAGGTGCATAATTTAGAAACTACAACTACTACGGGATATTACTCAGGAGGCTGAGTTGTGAGGATGGAGGTTTGAAGCCAGCCTGGAAAGGAAAGTCTGAGACTCATATCTCCAATTAACCATCAGAAAGCCAGAAGTAGAGTTTGAATGAAAAATCTCAGGGTCAATGCTAAGGTTCAGAGTTCAAGACAGACAGACACGCATGCGCACCTGCACACACAAAGACAGAGGAGAAAAAAGTGTAAATTTAATCTAACGGTGGTATTGATATTTAGATCTAAGTCCTTGGAGAGGAGATTGTTATTAGGTTTGGATAAGATCACTAGTGTATGAAGTCCCCCTAATTGAATCCTGGGAATTTTGTAAAGAGAGAGACTACACACAGATACAGAACAAATGCTGTTACAGAACATACTCTCCTTTTTCTGTTTTAAACCTGTATGAGCCTTTGGACTCGGGGCCTCCCAGTTACTCGGCTTGCAGTCTACTACTTGAGGCCCACTTCCAGCCTGGGTTTTTGCTATTTTGGAATATTTTTACTGTTGTATAATGTGGCTATATAAAGATTAACTGAAATGACAGTTACAGGACTGAACCATAGTGGTTTCATACTCATAACCTCAGCTACTTGGGAGGCCAAGATTGGGAGTATTGAGGTTCAAGCCTAGCTCAGGCTAACAGATATAATGGTACAAGTCTCTAATCCCAGCTATATACAAATCACAGGAAGATCACAGTGATAAGACTGGTCAAAAAAAGTAAGATATCATCTGTTAAATAACCAAAGCAGGAACTGTAGGCACAACACAAGTGGTCAAATGTCAGCTATGAGTGAGAAAGCTTAGGGAGAGCACAAAGCCAAATTCAAGCCCTAGTATCACTAAACACACACACACACACACACACACACACACACACACACACAGAATGAATGTGATTGATACAATTAATGCACTCAACATTAGAAAATACTAATTTGTTATATTCTTTTTTTTTGGTCGGAGGTGGGGCTTGAACTCTGGCCTTGGGACTATCTGTTCAAGGCGAGCGCTTTACCGCCTGAGCCACAGAGCCACTTCAGGTTTTCTAGTGGTTTATTGGAGATAAGAGTCTCACAGACTTTCTTGCCTGGGCTGGCTTTGAACCGCAGCCTCCTGAGTAGCTAGGATTATAGGCGTGAGCCACCGGCGCCCGGCTCTAACTTGTTATATTCTTTTATTCAAATTTACATAAAAAACAAACTAATAATTCAAATAAACTAAAGGAGTTTTCAGTATTTACTTTGTACCTGGTACCAATTTGAAGTGCTTTTCATGAATTACCTTGCCTGATTTCCTAAGAAATGAGGTAGATCTGTCATTATCCACTTTAAGGTGTTAGATAACACCAATTAGCTGGAAGTCACATAACTAAGAGAGGGCAGAGTACGGATACCCATTGAAGCTATTTTGCATCAGATACTCTAACAATTGCCATGATGGTCATTCAAAGCTGAGGAAAGATAAAGAAATCTGCTATAGTCTCAGGAGAAAAAGCTATTTCAGTTTAGTGGAAAACATTTTATATGCATTATGTACTTAACTGTCTGAAACACATTACCTTTAGGTGCAAAAAAAAAAAATCTACATAGCTGAGTAAGAAAGGCAGCGTACGAAAATTGGGTTATTACAGAGTTAGTAGCACTACTTAAGAATGTTTAGGGGGCCTGAACTCAGGCCCCTTACCTGCTGGGGGGGGGGGGGGGAGTGTCCTGAGAACGTAAAGTAAGTTTCTTGGACTTTAACCATTTGATTGGGCAAAAGATCCAAGTAAAGCCATTTGAATTTGGTAAGTTAAAAACAAAGCGATACGTGCATAAAGAGTAAAGGATTATATATACATATACATATATAAATAAATTTGTTAGAGTTGTTGCTTTAATAAAAGCCTAAAGCCACACACACACACAGACACACAGACAGACCCCACAAACCGCTTGCACCTCGGAAACATCATTAAGAGCGGGGAGCGAGGTTTAAGCACACAGATTAAACCTCCGTCAGTGAGAAGCACATGGCCAACTCCCATCTCCATTATTTACGGAGCTATTGTCTATATCAGAACCAGTTTCTACATCCTCAATGCCTCACAGGAGAGCCCGGCGCCAAAGCACAAACGTGGACCGTGAAGATCCGAGAGGGTCTTACGTACCGTGTCCCGCGGCCACGCCGCTCGCACTCGCTGGCCGGAAGTGGCCCCGGGGATGCAGGAAAGCAGCACGCGCCCCGCCGCCCGCCCCGCCTCTGGCGGCCTCCCCTCTCATTGGCTGGCCGGCGCTTGTGCCCGCCCCCGTCCCTCCCGCCCTGGGCGAGGTTATCAGCGGGGCTGCCTCCCGCCCCTGGGTGCGGCCTGAGCCTGCCCCGGCGGCCGTCTCCGAATCACTAGCACCCTTATAATCTAATCCTGCCACACGGGGTGCCACGTAACGTCTCCTCTCCCCCGGGGCCTCCTGCACTCTGAGGAGTGGGAGATCCACGAGGTCAAAGCCCCGTGTAGGTAATCGTGTGCCGCGAGCCAGAGGGGTCCGAGCTGAGCAGCCCGGAGGAAAAAGTGTTGGGACCCGCTTGGCTCCGGGCGAGCGCCGAAGGCGCCAGGTTTTCAACATAGATCACCACCTAGAACCCACATCTGCCCCCTAAAAAATGAGGCCGCCGTGCGGAGGCACCGAGGGCGAGATTGGATTAAAGCGTGCTCCTCGTATTCAAATCACAGTAGGGCGGGGCCTGATTAGGTTTTCCCGTCTGCGTCTCCCGGATGAAACTAAACTTGGCGTCCCAACAAAACGCCTGGAGGTCCTATCGAGTACCCCTAAGTCCTTCTTGACCCTTTTCCATATGGCCTTTAATTTCAGAGGCTTAGTCGACACAGAAAGCCTCCCCACACAGTTAAAGACCGACAAGTGAAGCTGACAAAGTCGCTTCAAGAGATGATTTTCCTGTAATGGCGCCTGCGTCAGACACTAACATGGCGGACTCGTTCGTGCGCGGAGCAAACGTCAGCACCTCTACCATAGCCGCTCAGAAACAGCCGAGGAGACCACGAACGAGCTCACTGATTGGCCCGTGGGCGGGGCGGGCGGAGCTGAACGCTCCCCGACGAACCAATCAGGAAGGCTTTAAAAGGAATTGGCCGCTGCGCCTTCTCCCGAGGCATGCTGGGAGCCTGGAGGACTAGCGAGGAGGAGTTGAGAGAACGGAGCGGACGCCATGGCGGCCGACATCGAGCAGGTTTTTAGGTCTTTCGTGGTCAGTAAATTCCGGGAAATTCAACAAGAGCTTTCCAGGTATGTACTCCCCGGATTCTTCTGCTCCCAACGGGTTATTAGAGCCCCATTTTAGCCTTTCGTGGTAATTCTTTCTTCGGAGACGCCGTCGTTCCTGGGCTCAGGCCCCGCTACGGCCCCGCCTGGGCCTGGGATCCATTTTACGGGCTCTCCCTCCCACTCTTCCATCCGCTCCTTCCCTTCCCCTCCGATGAGCTTCGTTTCCCCCCGTGGTTCTCCCGGCTAAGGCTTCCCCCTTCTCCCCGTCAGGTCTCCCCGACCCTTCCCTAGTCGGAGGCCTGAACGTCCACCGGGGACGGGCCTAGTTCCTTCCGCAGCTCCTCCTCCGCCGCCGCCTTTCCCCTCCCCCTCTCCGCCTCCGCCGATTTCGCCGGCCGGTGTCGGTGACAGGAAAGGGTCTCTAACGGCCGTTTCCGGGGTATTCTTATATTCTCTTCATTATTGCAAGCCCCAGACCGTTCGGGGGGTCGGACCCACTAATTAGGCTATTGGGACCCTCGTTCCCCGTGCGTTTCACCGGGCAGCGTTCTATACCGCTTTCAATGAGAACTCCCTCAAATTGATGCCAGTCCCTGGATGAAATATTCGACCCGAGGATGGAAGGGGGCTTCGAAATTAGCCAATACTTAGTTGTGTTCAGTGAAAAATAGACTCTGTGTGTAGCTGTCTTTTTTCGCCTTACTGTCCCCGCCTCCGTTGACGTATTTGATCCCTACGTTATTTTATTTTCATTTTATTTCATTGCCATTGCGGAGTGGACTTTACACGGGTTACTCTGGAAAGAGAAAAGATTGCTTAAAAAAAAAAAAGAGTTGCTTACTCGGAATGAAAAAATAGTGATATGGTGTGGGTCGTGCTGTTAAATTGATAGTCTGTTAGTAGTCTTTATGTGAATTACTCTTTTAAACCCGAGGTAGGAAAAATAATCTTGACATAAATATTTGTTTCTAGTTCAGATGTTTTTGCTAATCGTGTAAGTTGCGAGCAAGAGCAATGATGTGAATTTGAAAATGAGCTGAAAACCCAGTTGCAAATTGTAAGGCAAAATAACCATAGAAGTATTGGGGAAGTATTATTGCTGGATTTTAAAAATATCTTTAAAGGTGGAGTTTTTTTATGTAGGAAATATGTCTACTCAATAAGTTGCTTCTTTAATCTTTTGTGATGCTACTAGTATTTTTACTATGAAAAGCACCCTGAGTTGAGGAAGTGTGTTTCCTGAAAATTTAAAATAACTTGCATGGAATGAGTATATTTGCTTGGTTTAATAATGCATATTTTTTATGTAACTGTAACCTCTTTGTATATCACCCTTAGTATAATAATAAACCCTTATTTTAAATGAGGTTTTTGTTTGTTGTTGAAAGCTTGGAAATCATAAAGGAGAGAAAACATTTGCCCATTACTGATGTCCTCTCATTTTTATTATTACTATTATTATTTTGGTACCTGAGATCAACACGGGATTTTTCATTTGCTAGGCATGTGCTGTGCCACTGAGCTGCATCCCAGCCCTTGTAAAAAATTTATTTCTAATTCTAACATTGAGCAAAGTTGTTAATCTCATTTTAAACATTCTCATGTCTACATAAAATTCCTTTGTACCAGTATATTGGTATATCTATGTGATTTGAAATTTTCATTGCTTTTTAGTAATTGCAGCCATATCCTGGGTATTTCTAAGGAGATATTATTTCCTTATAGAGTGACTTTTAAAAAACTTAGTTTCGTGACTTCAAAATTTTATTTATTTATTTTTTGATGCCTGTCCTGGAGCTTGAACTCAGGGCCTCAATTCTGTCCCTGAGCTTTCTTTTGCTCAAGGCTAGTATGCTACCACTAGGAGCTACACAGCTCTACTTCCTGCTTTTTTGGTGTAGTTTATTGGAGATGTGTCTCCTGGACTGACGGATTGGAATTGTATCAAAATCCTCAGATCTCATCTTCCTGATGAGATTAGGATTACACGAGTGAGCCACTGCACATGCCTGGTTTCATAATTTTTAAGATCCATAATTAGTTAAATCTAAGCACTTAGAAAAAAAGGCTTGCATCAAGACATTTTGCAAGAAGTATTAGACAAGGCAGTTTATTACAAGAGGATTATTTTCTATACATGTTAACACTGCATTATCTGAAGACAGTTTTTTTTTATTATTTGCCATCCCAATAAACTATATCCTCTCATGTTCATTAGCTTTTACAAAAATTCATCCATATGGGTAGTATGCTGACATTTAGAGTAAGAGATCTATGTACCTGTGTTTTAAGACTATTGGCTTTGGTTTTTAATGTAAGCTCCACTTCTTAGGAGTCATGTAACCTTAAGATGTTTCTGGTCTTTGTTTCTTATTTTCCTCATTTATAGAATCAGAATAACGAGGTTAATCTTAGAGTTTTGTTAGGATTGAGTTAAAAAATGTAGAATAATGTGGTACTAAGTACAGTACTCATATTACATCATTCCTATTTGTTAATTACAGTTAATTACAGTGTGGTTTTTTTTCTTTTTTTGCATTTTGACTTCTGGCTTTTATCAGGTAGTTTTATATATTATTAGCTAAATGTAAGTTAAATGAAAATTGAAAGTGTCGTAGTTTTTCAAAAGTTTGCAAATATACACATGAAAATAACTATATGAGTGACATTTTTATCTATGTTAAAATTTTGATCCTGTGAATTGAAAATGTTAAGCCACTTACATATAGTATAAATGAATTGCCACGTGTTTATGTAATTTTTTTTGAATACCAGAAAAGAATGTGAATACCAAGAATTTTTAATCATTAGATGTATATTATGTGACTCTTTTTCTTTTTCTTTTTTACTTTTATGGTCTTTTATTAACAGTTGAAACTTGAACAGAAGCTACAATTTTATCTTTTTGTGTGTGTGTGCCAGTCCTGGAGCTTGAACCCAAGGCCTGGGCACTGCCCCTGACATTTTTGCATAAGTCTAGCCCTATACCATCTGAGCTACAGGTCCACTTCCAACTTTGTGGCGGATTCTTTCTGTCCAGGCTGACTACACTGTGATCCTCATATCTCAGCCTTGTGGGTAGCTAGGATTACAGACATGAGCAACCACCACTGGGCTCAGCTTATCCCGTTTACTCAGTATGTTTAAATTTTGCATTACTTGGTATTGTTGAAGGTGATTTTGATCTCTACACAGGTGTGGCTTTATTATGGCCATAATTTATGCCATAAGGTAATGTGGTTTAGCTCTCAATTTTTTTCTCCCTTGGGAGATACAGGTAGGTAACTCAAAGCCTCAAGTTATATTGCTTAAATTTTATTTAGAAAATAGTTTCATGTAAGAATTAGCTTAAAAATCTGGTATTAAAACTCTTTAAAACTTAGCAAGTGTTGAAAGCCATGTAAAAAATATTGTAACTGTATAGTGTTAAGGAATATTATTAGTAAACATCTACTACAGGAAAAGGGTGAAATATATGGGCAATGTTATATAACATTAGATTGTTAATATTTATTGGTTCTTACTACACGATGTAGTAAATTACTAATTTTGAAAACTTTTTGTCAAGTGGAAGGAGTGAAGGCCAGCTGAATGGTGAAACAAATACACCTATTGAAGGAAACCAGGCAGGTGATGCAGCTGCCTCTGCCAGGAGCCTACCAAATGAAGAAATAGTGCAGAAGATAGAGGAAGTACTTTCTGGGGTCTTAGATACAGAACTACGATATAAACCAGGTAAGCTGGAGATAAAGCATCTCAAATTTTTTTTTTTTTAAATTTCAAAGCTCATAGTGTCCTTCCTTCTGTTTGTCTGTCCTTGTTTTGGTCCTAGGCCTTAAAAAGCTGTCCATGAGTTTTTCTTTTTCTCTTTCTCCCCTCTTCTCCCCCCCCCCCCCCCCCCCCCCCTTCGTGGGGCTTGAACTCTGGGCTTGAGCACTGTCCCTGTGCTCTTCAGCTCAAGGCAAGCGCTCTACCGACTTAAGCCACAATGCCACTCTCAGTTTTCTGGTGGTTTATTGGAGATAAGAGTGTCATGGACTTTCATACCCTGGCTGGCTTTGAACCATGATACTCAGATCTCAGCCTCCTGAATAGCTAGATTACAGGTGTGAGCCACCAGCGCCCAGCTTATCCATGATCTTTTAAATGCTCAAGGCTCATGCTGTACCACTTGAGCCACAACTCCAGGTTTTTTGGTGCTTGATTTGGTCTCAGACTGGCTTGGAATCTTGAACCTTAGATCTCAGCCTCCTGAGTAGTTAGGATTATAGACGTGAGCCATTAGCTGCCCTGTTGATAGTTATTTCTTTTAGTTATTCTAGTTATTTCTAGTTTCTATTGACTTTCTTGTTACAATACTCCTTTGAAAACAAAACCACTTTAAGATGAACATTAATGCATTTTACTTGATAGGATATAATTTTGTCTATCTGATTTAGTTTTATAGGGTCTCAGCAGGAATTTTACATTTGAGTTTTTATTGAGAACAATTTGGAATTAACATACATAGTGTCCTGAACCAAATTTTAGCGATTTTTCCTTTTTTTTTTCTTTTTTTTTTTTGCCAGTCCTAAGACTTGAACTGAGCCTAGGCACTGTCCTTGAGCTGCTTTTGCTCAAGGCTAGCACTCTACCACTTGAGGCACAGTACCACTTCCAGCTTTCTCTGTTTATGTGGTACTGAGGAATTGAATTCCGGGCTTCATGCATGCGAGGCAAGCATGATGCCACTGAGCCACATTCCCATCCCCAAATTTTAGCAATTTTAAAGCATACCTTTGGAGATCTTAAAGTCTCAACTTAGAAGTCTTATTTGCACATCCACTAAAAATGCAATGATGGGTGCCAGTGGCTCATGCCTGTAACCCTAGCTACTCAAGAGGCTGTGATCTGAGGGTGGCTGTTTGCAGCCAGCTCAGACAGGAAAGTCTGTGAGACTCATTTCCATTAAACTATTGAGAAAAAGTCATAAGTGGCACTCAAGTGGTAGTATACTAGCCTTGAACAAAAGCAGCTCAGGGACAGCATCTAGACCCCAAGTTCAAGCTCTATGACTGGCAATTTAAAAAAGAAAGTGCAGTAAAGAGGAGTCATATATCAAGTTTTTTAGGATTGATTAAGTAATTGGTATTTAGAAATGAAAGGTTTATGATTAATCACAAAAATAAGTCATTAGATATTAAGTGTGGGATATGTTTTGTTCTATTGCTAGGAGGTAGTTTAAAAGTCTCATACCTTGTTTAGATTTATGGCTCTAACCTTTTCTTGTTTGACACTACTTAGCTAATATTCAGTGTGAAACAGAAAATGAGTAGTTTTAGTTTTGCATATGACTTGTCATAGTTTTTTTCCTATAATGGTAGTAGCAGGATTGTCTGAGTAGCTTTTGCTAAGATTTCAAAGTTGTCTATTTTGGCATTTAGAGTAAATTGTATCTGGTTATAAAATTGAATATAAACTTCCTTTGGTAGGATATGCAAATTGAAATATTTTTGCTTTACACATTAAGTGCTACAAGAATTGCTGCCCATTTCTTACTAGTTTTTAAAAGAACATTTTTAGGGAAATAGATTGGCTTTTAATTAGAATAATAATGTAGATGCAGTAAGATAAAATTTGAGTTCTGTGTTGATGGCTTATATTTGTACAGATGTTAACATACTACTTAAAAGTAATCAGCAACCTTTGCTGATAGCTTACTCTTCAAGAGGCATTGTTATATGTACTTTGTATTTTTTTTTAAGAAATTAGTTTTGCTGCAGGAATCAGAACCAGGGCCTGCCTTATGCTACAAAAATACTCTGCTGCTGTGCTACATCTTCAGTCTCGCTTAGTGTGGTTTTTGTTATTTCTTTGTTCCAGTTCTGGGGCTTGAACTCAGGGCCTGGACACTGTTCCCTGAGCTTCTTTTGCCCTACCACTTGAGCCAGAGTGCCACTTTTGGCTTTTTTCTGAGTAGTTTATCGTAGCTAAGAATCTCATGGTCTTTCCTACACAAGTTGACTTCAAACCATGATCCTCAGATTTCAGCCTCTTGAGTAGCTAAGATTACAGATGTGAGCCACTAGCGCCTGGCCCACTTAGCAAGTTTTTAACTCGCTTTGTCTCCGAACTAGAACACAAATTATGTTAGTAATTTTGTCAAAGCCATTTATCTACTAAGTGAAAGATTTAATTCAGGCTTCAAAAGCAGACGCACTCTTTGAAAGCCTTTGTCATGATGTTTCTTAAATGTACAGATTAATAAAGTAATTAAAAATTATTTAGGGGCTGGGAATGTGGCTTAGTGGCAGAGGGCTTGCCTCACATGCATGAAGCCTGGGTTTCGATTCCTCAGTACCACATAAACAGAAAAAGCTGGAAGTGGTGCTGTGGCTCAAGTGGTAGAGTGTTAGCCTAAGCAAAAGAAGCACAGGGACAATGCCTAGGCCCTGAGTTCAAGCCCAGGACTGGCAAAAAGAAAACATTTAATGTGGGTCTTTTAATAGGAACTATTACAGATTATGCAACTGCTGTAATTTGAGAGCTGGGGGAAACAATTGTTTTAATATTATTTAGTAAAACTTTGTTTCTTCAATGCTGGGGATTGATGCCACAGCTTTGTACTTCCTAGGCAACCAATCTTCCTAGTAAATATTCCCACCCCTATATGTAATCTTATAATTTTGATTGCATTTTTTGATAAGCTAAGAATTTATATTGTTAGCTTTCATTTGTTAGAGAAGTGACAGTTTGAGAGTAATTGACTTGCTGAAAGTTTTGTAACTTTTCACTTAACACAAGGAATTATCTTACAATGTTTTAATATAGAACGGAGGTGCTGGTTTATAACGATTATCTGAAACTACTTTCGGGAGTTGTAGGTTTACTTTGTTTTTGACAAAATTATTTCTATTACTTTCAGACTTGAAAGAGACCTCCAGAAAAAGTAGATGTGTATCTGTACAAACAGATCCTACTGATGAGATTCCCACCAAAAAATCAAAGAAGCATAAAAAGCACAAAAATAAAAAGAAGAAAAAGAAGAAAGAAAAGGAGAAAAAATATAAAAGACAGCCAGAAGACTCCGAGTCAAAGCCGAAATCTCATCATGATGGGAACGTAGATTTAGAATCTGATTCCTATTTTAAGTTTGATTCTGAACCTTCAGCAATGGCACTGGAACATCCTGTAAGAGCATTTGGCCCGCCTGAGACCATTGATTCCCCTGCAGTTATGCTAGAACCTCCAGTAGTACCAATGGAGTTATCAGAGCCACCCACCTTAGAAACTCTGAAGCCAGTTACAAAACCTGCAGAACTATCAGTTGGATCTGCATCAGTAAGCTCAGAGCAGTCTGTGTCAGTAACACAGGAACCATCTGTGACAAAGATTCTGGATTCCTTTGCAACAGCACCAGTGCCTGCTACAACAGTAGTGCTGAAGTCATCTGAGCCAGTAGTAACAATGTCAATGGAATATCAGATGAAATCTGCACTGAAATCTTTGGAGAGCAGATCTCCAGAGCCATCAAAGACCATGCTGGTAGAGCCTCCTGTAGCAAAAGAAACCCTTGTAGCCGCAGAGATAGCTACTGAGGTTTATCCTGAACCAAGCACATCAATGACAATGGATTTTCCAGAGTCACCTGCAGCTGAAGTGCTAAGATTGCCAGAGCAGCCTGTAGAAGTACCAATGGAGATCGCAGATTCATCTGTGACAAGACTGCAGGAGTCGCAGGAGCTGCTGAAGACCACATCGTTGGAGCCGCCGGAGTCGTCGGTGGCCTCAGTGCTAGAGTTGCAGGGGCCACCTTCGACCTCCATGCCGGAGATGCAAGGGCCCTCTGTGACTCCCATGCTGGAGTTACCTGGGCCCTCTGCTCCCCCGGTGCCAGAGTTGTCAGGGCCCCTTTCTACCCCAGTGCCCGAGGTTCCAGGGCCCCCTGCGACAGCAGTGCCTGAGGTGCTGGGGCCCTCTGTGACAGCAGTGCCACCGTTGTCGCAGGAATTGCCAGGGCCCCCAGCATCACCTTTGGGGATGGAGCCACCACAGGAGGTTCCAGAGCCACCTGTGATGGCACAGGAGGTGCCAGGCCTACCTGTAGTGTCAGCAGCAGTAGAGTTGCCAGGGCAGCCTGCGGTCACAGTAGCAATGGAGTTGACCGATCAGCCTGTGACGACGACAGAGTTCCAGCAGCCTGTGGGGATGACAGCGGTGGAACATCCTGGGCATCCTGAGGTGACAACGGCTGCAGGGTTGCTGGGGCAGCCTGAGGCAGCGATGGTGCTGGAGTTGCCTGGACAGCCAGTGGCAACCACAGCGCTGGAGTTGTCTGGGCAGCCTTCGGTGACTGGGGTGCCGGAGTTGTCTGGGCTGCCTTCGGCAACGAGGGCACTCGAGTTGTCCGGGCAGTCTGTGGCAACTGGGGCACTCGAGTTGTCCGGGCAGCTCATGGCAGCTGGGGCACTGGAGTTCTCGGGGCAGTCTGGGGCAGCTGGAGCACTGGAGCTTTTGGGGCAGCCTCTGGCAACAGGGGTGCTGGAGTTGCCTGGGCAGCCTGGGGCGCCAGAGTTGCCGGGGCAGCCTGTGGCAACTGTGGCGCTGGAGATCTCTGTTCAGTCTGTGGTGACAACATCGGAGCTGTCAACGATGACCGTGTCGCAGTCCCTGGAGGTGCCCTCGACGACAGCGCTGGAATCCTATAATACGGTAGCACAGGAGCTGCCTACTACATTAGTGGGGGAGACTTCTGTAACAGTAGGCGTGGATCCCTTGATGGCCCAAGAATCCCATATGTTAGCTTCTAACACCATGGAGACCCATATGTTAGCCTCCAACACCATGGATTCCCAAATGCTAGCCTCCAACACCATGGACTCCCAGATGCTAGCATCCAACACCATGGACTCCCAGATGTTAGCCTCTAGCTCCATGGACTCCCAGATGTTAGCCTCTAGCTCCATGGACTCCCAGATGTTAGCCTCTAGCTCCATGGACTCCCAGATGTTAGCCACCAGCTCCATGGACTCCCAGATGTTAGCCACCAGCTCCATGGACTCCCAGATGCTAGCCACCAGCTCCATGGACTCCCAGATGTTAGCCACCAGCTCCATGGACTCCCAGATGTTAGCCACCAGCTCCATGGATTCCCAGATGTTAGCCACCAGCACCATGGACTCGCAGATGTTAGCCACCAGCACCATGGACTCCCAGATGTTAGCCACTAGCTCTATGGATTCCCAGATGTTAGCATCTGGAACTATGGATTCTCAAATGTTAGCTTCTGGCACCATGGATGCTCAGATGTTGGCATCTGGTACCATGGATGCCCAGATGTTAGCATCTAGTACTCAAGATTCTGCTATGATGGATTCAAAATCTCCAGATCCCTATAGGTTAGCTCAGGATCCTTACAGGTTGGCTCAGGATCCCTATAGGTTGGGTCATGACCCCTATAGATTAGGTCATGATGCCTACAGGTTAGGACAGGATCCCTATAGATTAGGCCATGATCCCTACAGACTAACTCCTGATCCCTATAGGATGTCGCCTAGGCCCTATAGAATAGCACCCAGGTCCTATAGGATAACACCTAGGCCCTATAGGTTAGCACCTAGACCCCTGATGTTGGCATCTAGACGGTCCATGATGATGTCCTATGCTGCAGAACGGTCCATGATGTCATCTTATGAACGCTCTATGATGTCTTATGAGCGATCTATGATGTCTCCTATGGCTGAGCGCTCTATGATGTCAGCCTATGAGCGCTCTATGATGTCAGCCTATGAGCGCTCTATGATGTCTCCTATGGCTGAACGCTCTATGATGTCAGCTTATGAACGCTCCATGATGTCAGCTTATGAACGCTCCATGATGTCCCCTATGGCTGATCGATCTATGATGTCCATGAGTGCTGACCGGTCTATGATGTCATCGTACTCTGCAGCTGACCGGTCTATGATGTCATCGTACTCTGCAGCTGACCGGTCTATGATGTCATCCTATACCGATCGTTCAATGATGTCCATGGCAGCTGATTCTTACACTGATTCTTACACTGACACATATACAGAGGCATATATGGTGCCACCTTTGCCTCCTGAAGAGCCTCCAACAATGCCACCTTTGCCACCTGAGGAACCACCAATGACACCACCACTGCCTCCTGAAGAACCCCCAGAGGGTCCAGCATTGCCTACTGAGCAGACAGTGTTAACAGGTGAAAATACTTGGCCCACGGAGGTGCCAGCATTACCTCCTGAAGAAACTGTACCACAACCTGAGCATCCAGTGAGTCAAAGTGAGATTTCAGAGACTTCGGCAGTACCTGCTAATTATTCAGTGTCTGGATCAGAGCCGTCAGTGTTAGCATCGGAGGCCATTGTGACAGTACCGGAAACACAAGAGCCAGAGTCTGCAGGTATGTCAACACCTGTTGAGTCTGCTGTAGTAGCAGACCATGAAATGGTTCCGGAGAGACCAGTGACTTGTATGCTTTCTGAAACTCCTGTGTCAGCTGAATCAACTATGCTAACATCAGAGCCACCTCTGATGTCAGATAGAGCGGAAACATTTGACTCTGTGAGAGCTTCAGGACATGTTGCCTCAGAAGCATCCGTGGCTCTGCTAGAGCCTCCAGTAACTGTTCCAGAGCAAACAGAGGGTGCTCTGGAGCTGCCAGCCCTGGCTGCATCAGAACCTCTTGCTGTGGCTAGCCCAGAGCCTCCCGTGGTGGCAGCTCCCGAGCCTCCTGCTATGGCTATCCCAGAGCCGCCTGTTGTGGCCTTTCCAGAACCTCCTGCTGTGGCCATTCCTGAACCTCCTTCCCTGGTGGTTCCTGAACCTCCTGCTGTGGCTGCCCCAGAACCTCCTGCTATGGCTGCCCTGGAGCTTCCAGCTGTGGCTGAGTCAGAGCACATTGCCGTCCCTATGTCAATTGTTCCTGCCCTGGAGCCTTCTGTGCCTGTCTTGGAACCAGCAATATCAGTCCTTCAGCCTGCTGCGATTGTTTCAGAACCAGGTGTTTCTGCCCAGGAATCTACTGTGACTGTTTCAGAGCCTGCTGTCCCTGACTTAGAGCAGACTCAAGTAACGTCAACGGAGATGGCTTTAGAGCCTGCACCGATGATAGTGGAGCCTAGTGTTATGCCATCACATGTTATGAAAGGGATGACTTTACTATCTGGTGATCAAAATTTTATTCCAGAGGTTGGTATGCAGCAGATTCCATTGCATTCAGGTGAAGTGCCACATGTCGAAGGACACCTGAGTGACACTTATGAAAGTGGCCATGTTATAAATACAGACCTTAGTAACCATCTAATTGCTAAAGATATGGAACATAGTACAGTGTCTGCTACTAGCACTGATTCCATTGGTGAAAGTGGTGAAGAGAAAATTTCGACCATGGATGAGACTAAACAATGCATGGTATTGGATACCTGTCCTGGTGTTAGTGAAGCTGATGGAGGAGGACCTCTGTCTTCTGCTGATCCTCTGGCTCTGGAAACTAGCAAAGGTATTGAGTTTGCCACGGTATCTGCTCCTGATTCAGTTAATAAGTATGACGTTGAAGTATCTTTAACGACTCAAGATACTGAACATGATATGGTCATTTCCACCAGCCCCAGTGGTGGTAGTGAAGCTGACATAGAGGGACCTTTGCCTGCTAAAGACATTCATCTTGATTTACCATCTAATAATCTTGTGTGTAAGGATATGGAAGAGCCGTTTCCAGTCAAAGACAGTGACCAGGCATCAGTTGTTCTCAGCCCTAAAGAAAGTAGTGGAGAAGATAAAGAAGTAACTCTCCCTACTAAGGAAACACTGTTTGATTCAGGATTTCCTGCAAGTATTGATGAAATTAATGAAGCAGACCTAGTGAGACCATTACTTCCTAAGGACATGGAACGTCTTGCAAACCTTAGAGCTGGTATTGAAGGACCTTTGCTTGCAAGTGAAGTTGAACGAGACAAAATAGCTGCCAGTCCAGTTGTAGTAAGTGTGCCTGAAAGAGCTTCAGAGTCATCTTCAGAGGAAAAAGATGACTATGAAATTTTTGTGAAAGTTAAGGACACACATGAAAAAAGCAAGAAAAATAAGAACCGTGACAAAGGTGAGAAAGAAAAGAAAAGAGATTCTTCATTGAGATCTCGAAGTAAGCGGTCCAAGTCTTCTGAGCACAAGTCCCGCAAGCGTACCAGTGAGTCTCGGTCCAGAGCAAGGAAGCGATCATCTAAGTCCAAGTCTCATCGCTCTCAAACACGGTCACGTTCGCGTTCAAGACGCAGAAGGAGGAGCAGTAGGTCAAGATCAAAGTCTAGAGGAAGGCGGTCTGTATCAAAAGAGAAGCGCAAAAGATCTCCAAAGCACAGGTCCAAATCTAGGGAAAGGAAAAGGAAAAGATCAAGTTCCCGAGATAACCGCAAAACAGCCAGAGCTCGAAGTCGAACCCCGAGTCGCCGGAGTAGAAGTCACACTCCAAGTCGACGAAGAAGATCTAGATCTGTTGGTAGAAGAAGAAGTTTCAGCATATCTCCTAGCCGAAGGAGCCGCACCCCCAGCCGAAGGAGCCGCACCCCCAGCCGAAGGAGCCGCACCCCCAGCCGAAGGAGTCGCACCCCCAGCCGAAGGAGCCGCACCCCCAGCCGAAGGAGTCGCACCCCCAGCCGAAGGAGAAGATCAAGGTCTGTGGTAAGAAGACGAAGCTTCAGTATATCACCAGTCAGATTGAGGCGATCAAGAACACCCTTGAGGAGAAGGTTTAGCAGATCTCCTATTCGGCGGAAAAGATCCAGGTCTTCTGAAAGAGGCAGGTCGCCCAAACGTCTAACAGATTTGGGTGAGTCATTGTTTTTATAATTTAATAGCATTGTAATAGAGAATGGGTTAAATAGGAGTTTTTTTTCATCTGAGTCAAATGGAGTATGTAGATATGATTAGAAGATTGGGATAAGTGCATGTAATTGGAGTTATAAAAGACCTGCTTTGGAGAATATTAAAAACAACATGTACTTCAATGTTTGAGCCTTCTTGCCTTCACTAAAAATGGAGAGCAGAAACATGGGAAAATCTTGTTATATTAACAAGGCTAGTATGTGCTCATTATTATATGTGGTTCAACATATATCTTTGCAAAAAAAAAAAACCACAATTTGATGTGTGACAGTATTTCTGATAAGTATAGTTGGCAATGGAAGTTAATGGATATTTTGTTCACCTAGGGTGGGTGATGCTAGCTGAGTTCTGCCATATTTTAAAAATACTACTACTTTTTCTTGATTAAGTAGTGTGTATAGGTAGTTAAAACTTGATGGATGCATGGTTACCTGCTGGATGATAATTTATCAACTCAGTAGATTACTTACAAAGCAAAAGTAATACAGCTAGGTGTGCATTCAGTTTACCAAGTTTTTGACATTCTCATTCCAAGTAGAGGAATAGTATGTAATTCTCCAAATGATGAGGTGTTAATGAAGGATATGGTAAAATACATATGTCCGTCTTTACGAAATAGTAAAACTGCCAAAGGGAAAGTGATGATGGCCACACTGTTAGTGTTCAGGCCTATTAGCACAGTTCAGAGGAATGTTAATTCGACTTAGGTCTTCTTACAAGGGGTGACACTCTTAATTTGGGCTCAAGGAGCAATGAGGCAGATGTTAGGAGGAAACTAAATTTAAGGTCATAATTTGTGGAAGTAAAGTTGGGTTTGTGTCTTAGTGTTTGTGGCTGAGTGATCATTATGGTTTCATAGTAAATTTATAGTAAATTTTCGGTAGTCTTTGAGGAGGAAATTCCGTGTGGATTAGATTCTTTTAAGGGGCCCATCACCTTAAGAAACTTTTGAGATTCAAGGGGTGATTACAGCCATAAGGTAGAGCAGGAAATTGAGGTCTTTGATTTTATTACTATTTGAAAGTTGATAACAAAATGTATAGCCTTTAAGAAGACTTCTTCTTACACTTTCCTCTTACAGATAAGGCTCAATTACTTGAAATAGCCAAAGCTAATGCAGCTGCCATGTGTGCGAAGGCTGGTGTTCCTTTACCGCCAAACCTAAAGCCTGCACCTCCACCTACAATAGAAGAGAAAGTTGCAAAAAAGTCAGGAGGAGCTACCATAGAAGAACTAACTGAGGTAAGCTAGACAGAATTCGTTTTCATTCTTAAATGGATTATTCCAGGGTTGTTGACTCTGGATTGTGCCAAAACCTGAATTGTGGGCTGAACTGATAATGGCTGGCACCGAGTGGCCAAAACCCGAAATACAGATGTGGCAGCGGCAGAAGCTCTGTTTAGCAGGCCATTATCCGGGATGGCTAAGCTCCGCTAGCTAAAAGTTACTTCCCATTACTTTTGCTTTCCAGTTTTAGAAGCCAAACTGACTGAGGAGTGGGACGGTTCGTTTGAATGGAGGAGGTGTTGAGTGAGCAACACGCAGAAGCTCGCCTACAGTTTCGTTTCCATTCACGACGTGTTCACTGATCGCCACGAGTGTACTGCATATACGCAAAGACACAGACAATCTTCAGAAATGATCTTTTGCCACCGGAGCTTGGAAATTAATGAGAATAGCTGGCCATTGCCTGAAAGGAACTTCTTTCGCATCAACATTTCGGGTTTTGGCTGTTTGGTACCAGCCATTGGCGATAATGGCCGGCCATTATCAGTTCTTCCTCTGCGGTTCGGGTTTTGGCAGTAACATATATTTTAAATATACTTATTTTTGTTTCTAAGAATTTGGTCTTTTCAATCGAGGCTTTTGGGGGGAGGCTTTTTTTTTGCGGGGTGGGGGGGATGCTGAAATATTGCTGCTAGGATCCAGAAATACCATACTGTTTCATATACTGAAACTCGTTACTAGCTAGCCTTATGCTAGCCTGCCACTGTCAATATATTCTGTTCCCATTGGTTACATGCTTGAAATACTGTGTTTTTGGCTAAGTGAGCTTTTTAATTCCTATTGTAATATTTCAATTGATATTAGATGTGACAAATTCTGCTGTATAGAGACAAATCTACTCAAATTTACTCTGACCTTTTTATGAAGCCAGGTAATAAAGTCTATTCCTTTGCTTCTTAAGGAGGAATTGACTTTGCTTTATGTGTCAGACGGCATCAATCGCATCCTCTCCATCATGCCTTACTTTTCATTCTTAAGTTGGGAAGACATGTTACGGTCTACTCCTGTTAACAAAAGTTTCAAATCTTTTATTTTACCATATATTTGGTGGACATAAAAGTATCTTAGTTTGTTTCTTCACTTAGATTCTTTATGCTATGAATTGTAGCTTAAAAAAAAAAAGGACCTAGCAAAAACGTCCATTGCTCACTTACCAAATCTAAATTCTTTATCTAAAATCCTATGAACACTTAGTGTTTTGTTTCTAGCCTCATCTTAAGTAGTCCCTTCTAATAGGCTTCTTCTTGCTTCTTTACCACCACCTGACCAGGATGGCTTTCTTTTCCTTTCCCTAGCAACCCTTTTTCTTTACTATGAAAATCTGGCTTAGAATTTTTCAAGGAACATTTTTTGATTTTTTTTTTCTTTTTTCCAAACCTTGACTATTCTCTCTTTACGCCTCTGTTCTTTTAGCACTTATGTACTCAATTTGTATTATATCAGTTTGCACTTGTTATTGTGTTGCTCTGTAAAAAACGTTCTTGGATTATTTTATGTATATGTAATTTGTCTCTTGTATTAGATTGTAAGCTCCTTGGGAGCAGGGACCATGTCTTCTACTTTTTTTTTTTTTTTTTTGTATTCCAAGACAGTGCCCAGTACAGTGCTCTGCACATAGTAGGTGCTCAATAAATGTTGTTGACTGACTAGCCAGTGTGTTTAAATAACAGTTAATAAGCTGAATTACTTTTTTTTTTTTGCCGGTTGTAGAGCTGGAACTCAGAGCCTTGGGGCTGTCCATGAGTCTTTTCAAAGCTCAAGGCTTAGCACTCTACCACTTTGAGCCATAACACCACTTCCACTTTTTCTGGTGGTTAGAGATAAGAGTCTCATGGACTTTCCTGCCCAAGTTGGCTTTGAACCGCAATCCTAAGTAGCTAGGATTACAGGCATGAGCCACCGACGCCTGGCTTGAATTACTTCTTTTTATTACTTTAACCTATCAGTAGTCTTGTTTCCTTGTGTAAGTTGATTTTATGTGATGATTTTTTAAAATTAAGCATGTTCTATGTAAACCATAAGATTTATCTTTTTTTTTTTTAAAGAAATGCAAACAGATTGCACAGAGTAAAGAAGATGATGATGTAATAGTGAATAAACCCCATGTTTCGGATGAAGAAGAAGAAGAACCTCCTTTTTATCATCACCCCTTTAAACTCAGTGAACCCAAGCCTATTTTTTTCAATCTGAATGTAAGTATTAGTACTTAGGGATTGATAAAATGACATAATACATGTAACTATTTAAATGCAACATAAACATGGGTTTAATGTATTAGGGTGTGTGTACTGGGGCTTGAACTCAGGGCCTGCGTGCTGTCCCTGATCTTCAACCCACAGCTCCACTTGTGGCTTTTATGGATTGGAGATGAGTCCCATGGACCTTATTGACTGGATTGATTTAGAGCGGCAGTCCTCAGCTCTCAGCCTCCTGAGTAGCTAGGATTACAGGCGCCTGGCTTAGATTAGTTTTTGATTTAAATACTATGAAAAGTAACAAACCATTTGCAATCTAAACATTGCCTTCAAGTAAGGCTGAAATTTTTTATAAACCACTTTTGGAAGAACTTTTTTTTTTCTTTTTTATCCTTCCTGGAGTTTGAATTCAGCTCAGGGCCTGGTCACTGTCCCTCTTTGTGTTCAAGGACAGTGCTCTTCCACTTGAGCTAGCATGCCACTTCTCACTTTTTTTCTTTCTTTCTTTTTTTTTTGAGTAGTTTATTGGAGTCTCATGGAGACTTTTCTACCCAGTCTGGCTGGTAACAGTGATTCTTAGATCTCAGCCTCTTGATTAGCTAGGATTATATGTGTGAGCCACCAGTGCCTGGCAAGAATATATATTTTATAAAAGTTTTAACTAAGGAATTTTTTTTTTTTTTTAAGATTGCTGCAGCAAAGCCAACTCCACCAAAAAGCCAGGTAACATTAACAAAAGAATTTCCTGTGTCCTCTGGATCTCAACATCGGAAAAAAGAAGCAGATAGTGTTTATGGAGAATGGGTTCCTGTGGAGAAAAATGGTGAAGAAAACAAAGATGATGATAATGTTTTCAGCAGCAATTTACCTTCTGAGGTAAGTGAGATTAATATTTTGTGTTTTTCCTTTTTATACCTAAATCTGCCATTTTATTGTTATTTTATATCTGATTTGGATTCTGTTTCACTCTTCTTAGGGCCGGGTTAAACGGCAGGGCCGGGTTAAACGACAGATGAAACAACCCGCAGCTTCTCATTTGACAGTAACTCGATGCAGTTCACTTTGTGGAACCAAGCCACAAAGTGAAAAGCATCGAATTGCAGAGAACAGTGTTATCACAACCCTACCCAACATTGGGCCCTCCTTGCATTTGTGGGAAGGTAGCCCAAGGTACAACTATTTAGCTTCCCGTTTTGCTTCAAGGCTCTATAGCTCTAGATTTTGGTGGTAGCAGCTTTATCGGGTTGGAGGCATTGAGCAGAGAGGGCAGATCGTCAGGTTCAACACAAGAAGTGGATTGGAAAAGGTCATTGTAGTCTGATGTGAATATCCTGGGTACATTGCCATTTAAGGATGGTTTCTTACTACTATTTTAGGTTCAGATAGCCTTTAATTTTACTCGTTTTTCCCTTCCCAGTGCTACACCTTGGTCCTTTTGCATTCTTGTGTTTAACCTAATGTTCAGCCTTGGTACTCCCTTCCCTTCTTCACCCCTTTGCCACTATTGGAAGTTGGAGAAGTGGAATTTACTCGTTGAAATATCCACAAGGCTATAGTTGTATCTTGTCAAAAGTGACGTAGTAACAATGCCAAGTGTTAAAACAGCCCATTAAAATGCCGCCTGATTAAATGTGCTGCTAAATATAGTGCACAAGAAAACAGCAAGACTGTATATATATGTAAATATATATATATCTGTATCTTTGTATGTATCTATGTATCTGTACCTTTGCTGTATCTTTTAATAAACAGTTTACTTTTATTTAACTTGTTGTGCAAAATCACGCTTGGGGGATGTGGGAGGGTGGAGACTTTCTAGGGGGGGAGGTGGGAGTTTTCAATATCATAGACTAGTTGTCATCACCACTTGTGCTTGGTTTCCAAAGCCTTGACATTTGTGCAAGTACTGACTAGATTGCTGATACCCTTTTTAGACTTGCAGTTACAGGATCTGTGGGTCTAAGACCTATACTCTTTCCTGAGGTTCTTGACATTGGCATATCATCATTCTGCCAGTAAACACTTCCTACAGAGAAAATCCTGTATATGAAACCAGAAAGTAACAACCCAAATCAGAAACTTTCCTAGCAGTGTTTTTCCCCCAAGCTATTTTCAGACATTTTCACTTTTTATTTTTTTCCTCTTGGGGCATTTTTGAAGAGGGATCAAACAGCCAACTTCGAGTTAAGAGTTAGTGGTAGTCTATATTCACATGGAGTTAAGCAAGTTAACTATGAAGAGAGAGTTTAGCTGACTTGGACAATATTTTAGTGAAAACAATTCAGTGTTCAGTTCCTAATCCCCAGATCAGGCTACTTGGATATCTCAAGAGGGAAAGGTTAACAGACATTTGCAGCTGATTTAATCTTATATTAGCTGAATAATAGACTATGTTGAGAGCTGTATAGGCTTAGAAATCCTAATATGTATGCTTTCTAAAAAAGTTTATTGCGGATTAAGCATGTATAAGTTAAAAAAAAGCATGGCAAGACTCCCATGAAGTAAACCATCTATAAATATTGCAAAATTCCAAGAGACTTTTCTGAGAAGTAACTATAACTGTTTTGTCTTCCTTCAGTTAAAGACAGTGAAAGTCCTTATTAATCTTTATTCTTTTTGATCAAGAAATTTGATGAGTACTCATGTATTTTTCATGCACTGACAGGATGATGGCTTAATCTTGGTTCTCATCACAGCGGTTATCAGCTTGCAAAGGTTGAGGGAATTCTAAAGAAATCATTAGTGGGGGGATGAACATTGAGAACAAAAGTTAGTATTTTATTAGGACAGAAGGAAAGTTCTGTTCAGATGCCTAAATGAAGCAGATGTCTCTTCTGACAAGATAGATAAAACTATTTAATACACAACTCTAAGCTACTTACATAGAAGATTACACTCATAGATTAACCTAGTTTTAAACAAGTAAGTTCCAAAATTTTAGGAAGAGAAAGGGGTAGGTAGAATTATGTTCTGCTCTCAACTCTACACTTATGTAACAGTAACGTTAACCATATAGAGGAAATGTTTGTAATGTAAAATATTCAGTTCTGGTTATTTAGCTAAGTGCACTGTGCTTATAAAAGTAATGTTTCTTGTGCTAATGTTTGTGGAATAATACTTTTGTTGATACTTCAGGGAGGTTGACCCTTTTGATAGAAGTAAAGGCTTTGTAAGATAAAGGGAAATGCTCTTTTAAGTGGCCAAATTTTTATCTGAGGATTAGTTTTTGTCTTTTTAATTAATATAAATAGAGCTTGTGCTTCTTTAATCTTGGCCATCAAATGTTTAGCTAAAGATCACACATACTATCTTTAGAAGGATGAAATTATCTTTGCTGACCCCAATTGTCATTCATAAGAATGCTCTTTGACATGAGTGTATAGTCCTGGATCATGGATGAATCAACGTAAGTCCATACGTGTGAAGAACCACTCATTAGACATTCTATCATAGTATCGTATTCCTACACATCTAGCAGCATGCTCAGTAAGAGATGAGTGCAGAACTTTTACATATATGTGTGAATCAGATTTATAAACAGTGAAACTTCAAAAAATATTATTGGAAAAGTGATACTTAAAAAATAGTCCTCATGGGTATTAATTATAGTAAGTAAAGTTAGTAAAGGTTTATTAGAAGATTGAAATGTAGTTCTTGAATACAAGTAAATATAGGGTATAAACTGGAGTAATAGCTATACTTCCTACACATCTCAAGTTTTTCTGGATTTACTATCAGTATTTTAGAGACCCAATTCTATGTTAAGATCATTTTTACAGTGTCGAGTTCTATATTCTTAAATCATGTCTGCATCTCAAAGAAACTAGAATTCTGAAGCTTTGAATTTGTAAAGTTTAGGAAAACTAACTTCTTGGAGGAATAAGATGAACATTTTAATTGTAAATTATAAGCCTGTAAGTTCTAGAATGATCTGTTTTCCTATTATTTCTTCTAGACTGAAGAGTTATGCTACAGAATTTTGTATGATTTAATAAAGAGACAGATAACTCACTTTAAAAGATGAATCAAATGATAGTTCTTGAAGTTGTTTTTAATATATTGAAGTGAATTAATGTTTTTTGCTAATACTTTATAAATATCTTATTGGCCAAATGGATTTCTTTAGCTGTTTTCTTATTGCTAATTATTTTTTATAGCCTCTTTTAGGTTTGAGATATCTGCAGTTACCTGTGTAGAAAATAATTGTCTTCTATATTTTTCTAAAATCTAATTTATTCTACCCTAAGTTTATGTTTAACTCCTTCACATTCACATTCTTTTGCTGCATTCTACAAAATTCTTGATATGTAAAGCAGTTAACAAAAGAGAGGACTAAAAATAGAAAGAAATTTTTAAAATGGAAAAGATGTAAAAAGTACATTCCATATATATGAAATACAGGTGATAAAATGTGTTCATTACACCTGCATCCTTTTAGAAGGATCCTTTGCTGAGATAGAGGTGAAAAATTGTGGGTAGTTTTTATTAATGTGAGAATTGTAATTTAGGTATACCTCATTTTATTTACCTTGTAGGTCAAGTTCTAGAAAAAGAAAATTATCATACCTAGAATATTACTATAAAATTTCATACATTTTTAGATTCCATACAATTTTCACACATTATGTAGCAGACTTATTTGTGGAAACAAAACATGTTGATAACAACTTGATAAAAATTCTACAAATTCATATCTTCTAAGAATGACTTTTATTTTGATACCTTTTACATAGTTTCTGTTTCTGAATGATAAAAAGGATGGTTAAGATTTTAAAACTCCCGTTTTCCAATGTAGCGATCACCAGCTGCTGAACAAAAAATCAGTTTGTTAAATCACACTACCCACATTCCAAGTGCTTAGCAGTTATTACTGCAGAAAATCCTGTTGGACTGTGCAGCTTTAACTGGTAGCCGTTTGTGTGTGTGTGTGTGTTTGTGTGTGATTTTTGCTTTTGTTTAATGTTTTAATACATGTAACATTAGATAAGATCATTGAATAATGCTTTGGGAATTTTTATGTATTACATAACCTGGATTATCGTAAATGTGGAAATACTTTAAGATCCTTACAGAGTTAAGATAATCTTGATTGATTCTGAGTGTATTTTTTCACATTAAAAATAAGAAATTAACAATTATTACATAACTACTTGAAGAAACTTTCAACTTTCATACAGGAAGAGAGTCGTAAGTTTACTTAAATTTCAACATCAAGTAGAATGAGATGTAAATTTATATAAAATATTCTAGGATTGAAGAAAGTTTCATCCTGGGGATAAAAAAAGTGGATTAAGTTACTTTTTAAATTAATGTCTGACCAAAAAAAGAAGACCTAAAGTGTCTCTAGAGGGATATAGTGACCATATTAGATTCTTTAGTATTCTACTTGGAACATATTGTTTGTTGTATTCTAGTAAAGTTATTTTGCTCAAAGCTAGTGCTCTGCCACTTTTACCCACTTTTACTTCTGGCTTTTTCTGTGATTAATTGGAGATATAGTCTCATGGACTTTTCTGCCTGGGCTGGCTTTGAACTGAAATCCTCAGATCTCAGCCTTCTGAGGAGTTAGGAGCCACCGGCTCTTGTGGTAGAGTTAGATTTTAAAGTCATCCTAGTTACTTTCATGGTGAAGCTGTGATTGGAAATCGGGGTAGACCTTTTCCCCAGTGTCTTGTCAGATTTCAGCCTTTTCTAGATTATGCCTAAGCTTCTTAACATTTAGATTGATTTGAGAACCAAAATAAGTCTGGGAAGGCTAATTTCTCATAGGTGGATCTTCAAAAATTACCTTGATAATCCCAACCTTACAAGACATCTATGGTAGATCTAGTGGTCCCAGATTTTGGCCTTAAATACTTGTACTTGCATTTAAAGTTCCAGGGATTATACAGACCAGGTTTGAGTCCAGGAATTAAAATAGAAGCAACTGGTTCGAATATAGTACATTTCTTTGTGTTTCAGTTTAACTTCTCTTAGTCTTGAAGGCCTTAGAAATATTCTCTGTGGATCATTTACCCAGAGATAAACAGTATTATAGATTACAGAATTCAGTTTGTTTTCATTTTAAGGTATATAAAAATTTATACTTTGTGGATTAAAAAAAACTTGATTTAGCCCAAGTAGTCCTTGCTAAATGGCTAAGAATATTAGTGCAAGGGTTCTTACACTTATAATAGAAAAGTTAGTCCTTATTATACACAGAGTAAAGTTATTTTCAGTATTGACAGCTTTTCCCACTATATAGATCTTATTAATACTTCATATACAATTCGTAGTATAATAGCTAGATTCTATTTTACTTAACAGATTCTTAGCTATTGTTACTGACTTGTCATATCTATGGAGCATAGCTCTTTGTATTTTTTTTTGCCGGTCATGGGGCCTGAACTCTGGGTCTGGGCGCTGTCCCTCAGCTCTTCAGGTCAAGGCTAGCGCTCTACCACTGGAGCAACTTCCGGCTTTTTCTGTTTATGTGGTGCTGAGGAATCAAACCCAGGGCCTCATGCTTGCAAGGCATGCACTCTACTGCTGAGCTACCTTCCCAGCCCTGCTCTTTGTATTTTCAAACAGCAGAACCTCTCTATGTCAGTTAAGCATTTTCACAAAAGTTTCTTGTATGAAGTAAGTAGGAAATGGCAATAACTTTAATATGTTAAAAAGAAAAATACAAATGATTAATTAGTTGATACATACCAACTTGTGCTAATTTTGTTTTTTTTTTTTTTTGTTGGCTGTGGGCTTGAACTCTGGGCCCGGGTGCTGTCCCTCAGCTCTTCAGCTCAAGGCGAGCGCTCTACCACTTGAGCTACAGCGCCACTTCCAACTTGTGCTAATTTTAAAAGGAAACCACTCCGTACTTAATTGGTTTTTCCCGTTGATAATCTGACAAGAATTTAACTATTGCTGTTTTTGAAAAAAGATGAAAATCGCCTCTATCCCAAGATTTGTTTTAACCATTGAATTTCTAGGGATCGAACCTAAGGTCTTCCTGGCATAAACTTGTTTGTGCAGTAATGAGGACTGAATCCAAGTTCTCATACATGCCCTGCCACCTGAATGCCCCCAACCCCAGCGTAAGGTTTTAAAAGACAAAATATGGGAAGTAGGGACTAGTATTTCTTTTTAAAATCACATTTAAAAACATGTTGAGCTGATGTTAGATTTCCATAAATACTTCTATATAATGGATGTAAGCTGAAAACAAAATTTGCTTATATACTGTAAATATTCTTTGAAGAAATTGGGTTGCTAAGACGCAAGCTTATCTATGCACAATTTCCAGAAGAAGAATGATGTACAGATAATTTGAAGTAGTGATAATTGGCACCATAATGGTTTTCTACTTGTGGTCAGGAACTTTAAAAAGTACTGCTAGCTAGTAAACAGGCTATGCTAATAAATAGGGTAAAGTGAAAATTGATGAGTTTAAAGTTCACAGCAACTCAAAATAATGTTCTTTATTCTGGAGACTTTTTAAGTTATTGTTAATTCCATTTTGATACTGTAAAGAATACACTGAAAGTGCATTTTTTTGTGTGAGTTTTTCTGCCTCCTGATCCTCGTAACTAACTTCCCTTCCTCATTTACACTTTCCAAGGTTACTTTTTTGAGACTTTGCAAATTAGTATGTAAGACTACTGTTTTTGACATGCAGCAACTAAAGACAAGCATTTTCAGAATTTAGGGTCCTGCTGTAGTTTGAGATAATTATCTATGTTTTCTTCCTTAGCCTGTGGATATCTCTACAGCAATGAGTGAGCGGGCACTTGCTCAGAAAAGACTCAGTGAGAATGCATTTGACCTTGAAGCCATGAGCATGTTAAATCGAGCTCAAGAGCGGGTATGTAGCAGTTTTAATAACTTTCTAAATGGGACTTCATGATAGTACTAGATGGTTGAGTTGTGATATTGACTCCGTGATTAATCCATTAGTCTTAATTTGCTGGCTTAAACAAGTGTCCTGAAGCCTGATCATTTAGTAAATGTTTATTGTGCCCCATGTGGCAGGAAGTATTTTAAGAGCACAAAACAAAAAGTTCCTTGCCCTTTGATGCATAAAAGGAACTAAGTGCCTGCCAATAAGACTTCAGAGATGTGTAGGTATTATTAGTTCTCATGTTTAATTAAACTGAGGAAATGAGTAGTGGCTAATGATATCCAAGGTCACACAACTAGTATGAGAATTAGGATCCACACCCAGACAATCCCAATGCAGGGTCTGTGCTCTAAACACCGGCTTCTCCATTTATTTTACCATTACATGGTAAATCTCTATAAAAAGTATAAGTACATCTTCTGGAATTAAAATTGGAGACGATACAAGGTGTTTATTAATTACATTTGGGATGAATAACAGCTGATTCTTTACTACAGTAGATAGTGGTGATAGCAGCCTACAACTTTTCTTTAATGCTGTTTTATTTATTTGGGCCATTTCCTATGTTAATCTTTAAGCAAGCATCACAAATGTATTCTGGATCCATAATAATAAGTAGGTAAAAAGGCAAGGTAGGCATCTTTTGGGATGTGAACTTGGGATATTTTGCAAAAAGATTATACTTATTCTTTGATGTGTGTTTTATTATTATAAAGGTGATAAACGGGTTATAGTTATATTACTCAATATACCTATGCTATTACACATAAGAGCTTTATTAGTAGGATTCACTGAGTTTTTTAAAATAGTGTTTTAGAAAGCATAGAAAACATTTAATTTTAAATGGAGGAGAAGGAAGGAAGGGGTGGCATTTACCAAGAAGCATTGTACTCATATTTCACTTACAGAATTGTAACCCCTTTGTTCAACTACTTGAAAATAGTAAAAAATAAAAATTAAAAAAATCAAGAAAACATGATTTTAAAGATGTTTAACTTCAGTGTAGTGTTTTCAGAGTTTAATCTGTAAGTCTGTTATTCAGGCCTTTTCAAGAACTATTTTTGTTTAGTAAATTATCACTTGTAGTAATGACGGTGACTTTTTTTTCAGATTGATGCCTGGGCTCAGCTGAATTCCATTCCTGGCCAGTTCACAGGAAGTACAGGAGTACAGGTTCTGACACAAGAACAGCTGGCAAATACTGGTGCCCAAGCATGGATTAAAAAGGTACATAGTATATGCATATAGGAAAGTATAAAAGTACAAAGTTAAAACTTTGGAATGCTATATTAAAGTATGCATGAAAGAGGCCAGTGACGCTAACCAAATTCCTGAGTGTATTTGTTATATGTATATGCTCCAGGATGGACACTGAAGATAGACCGGAATCGTGAAACAATGGCAAATATAGTAAATGAGCCACTCAGTGTATATTCTAAGGTTCTTTTTATTTATTTTTTGCTGATGTTTTTTTGGGGGGGTGGTTCTCTAACTGTTTTAAATGCTATCAGGTGCTGTTCAGAATCTTCTACAGTTCCTGTTGGACTAACCTAATCATTTCAGAGCAGTGGTTCTCAAATTTTTCTTCATCATGGGATACTTTATTACAGGTTTATTTTTGGTGGATCACTACCTCCCCCTCCCGTTCCCCAGCCCTCTACCACCCTAATCCCTAACGATCCATTCCTGTCCTGTCCCTTTCACAAGATCCCTTGCCTCCTATTCCTTACTCCTGTTGTGACTTCCAGCCCCAGGTCCCTATGTGTGATTAGCTGTTGGTTACTGCAAGTGGTTGGGAGGCCCTAGTAGTAGCGTTGCATGCGGTGAATTTGCCATGGGACTGAAGGGGTGGTGGTGGAGGATGGCTAGGGTGGCGGGGGTGTGTGTGCTGAGGGTGGTGGTAAAGGGGGAGGGGGATGGAGGTACCTATCTGTGGATCACCATTTAGGCCCTAGTGGCCTCTGGTGGATCCACAGGCTCAATTTGAGAACCACTGATTTCATGAAAAAACAGGATATATAAGACCTAAAATCAAGGGAGAGGACGGACACCTCGTACTACGAAGATGTAGGTACACCTGGTCTCAGATCCCTGCAGTGAGATGTGTCAACTCCACCTACGGCTACCTCATTGTTGGGGGAGTCTTAGGTGGTTAAGAAGGGCTGGCTTTCTGAAGAAATGCAGTTTGGTGAAGGGATGTGGTTTGGTTGGATGGGTGATGGGAAATTTGTTTCAGGAGTACTGGCAGCCTAGCAGTGCTGAAACTGGGAGGCTTCGTGGTGTAATGGATTGGGAAGGTTTCCTTACCCTGCTGTACTCCTGACTCCTTGTGTGATCATGGGCAAGTAATTCTTTGGAATTTCAAAGTCTCCCAAGTGTAAAGTGGAGACACATCCTTATTACTGCCTCAGAGAGAGGTAATCAGTGTTGTGAAAGGAACCTGTAGGAACAGCAATGGGTGCCATTCATGAATGAGCTACTTAAAAAAAACAAGGTATTGGCTGATGTGGACATTTTAATCTGATAACATTTCAGTTTTGATAGCATTATCCTTGTTGATTTTCTTAGCGATTTATATCCCCACTTTTTTTTTTTTAAAGAAAGTTAATATGTACTGGGGTTGGCACTGGAAAACAGAAAGGGTAACAGAATTTGGTTCAATTTTTACATATTTATATGAAAAGGATCCATGGTTTTCATATTATTTGGAAGAATAATACCTGTATGTCTCTTCTCTTTTTTGGGGGCTGGGGGTACCCTGGGTATCATGCCCAGGGCCCTTGTGCACTATGACCGAGCTATACTTCCATCTCTGTTTCTTTCATATTACTCTATCTTGAAGATTATAAAAGATTATAATGCTCAATATGGTTGCTTAACTAGGAACATTGTAATATAGTTTTGTACATTGGTAGATAGAAAGTTTTGAATATCCCTCCAGTTATACATATTTTGGGTCTTCATCTATATAATGCTATGCTGCTCCATAATGCTGCTTACATCTAAATGTTGCTTATATCTTACTGGTATAAGTAACTTTTACAAAATGAATCTTCTACTGGCTTAGTTGGTCCCTATAAATGCTCTTCCATTAAATTTTTTTCCATTACCAGTTTTGTATTAAATTTGAGTTTTATAGTAAAATGTTTAGTATAAACTTTTAGGTTTCATCTTTATATTCTAAATTTGTTTTGGGAAGCAATTCATTTTTACCGTAAGATATTTTCATCAGAACTTAAAGAAAAATTACAGAAATTACAGAAAAAATGCAATACTTTCAGGAAAACATCCATGTGCAGAATTGCTAAAAAACATGTATAATAACAATACAGCAGTATTTTATAAAATAGGCCATTTCAAAGTCATTAGGCAACTGAACATTTAACCTTCTGTTCACAGAATGTAAGTGTTTAGTAAACTTGTTCAAATGATCATTTAGCTTTTTTTTCCTCCTTTCGCGTATCCCAACACTACCTTTAAAAAACTAGGGAATTCAAACTGTGTTTAGATTAAGACTAAGAAAACACTAATATTTTTCCTCATGATTAAAGCATTTGAAATGGTTATCTTATTTTCTGGAATGGAATGATTTAACATGACTTTATAAATACTATTTATTATTGTGGTCTTAGTAGATAGATCAGCTTTTTTTCTGAATTGCATATACATTGGTTAAAGAAACAAATGAAAATATTAGAAAATGGAAATAGTTGGGGTTGTGGACTATTTGGGGGTTTATATTGTATTGTCTGCACAGTTGCCCTTTTTTTTAGGAGTGTTTCCTGCAAAAGAGGGGCAGATGAACCTGGAAGTAAGTAAAAGTCATTTTAGGTGTGTAGCATCAAGGCAGTTGATACCCAAGCATCAGCTAACTTTTCTCTTGATACATCTACACTGCATGGCCTGCACCCAATAAGGAACTGAACCAGGGGTATGTTTTTACCTCCACAGCTGCCTCCTTCCATCAGAGCACCTTGTTGAGCTTAATGTCTAGTTATGTGCCATTGGCATAATTTTCCCTCAGCATTTTAACTATAAAGCTGGGGAACAAAGATTGATTTATTAGTGTGTAAAACATGATTTACTTTTACATTTCTTAATAACTTACTGATGTAGGAAAGAGTTTCCCTGAGCTATCACAGTTTTGGCTCTATTAATGACTCTATTAATAAGTTTTCCAAAGTACACTAGGCTTCAATTTAGGAACAGTGTGGAATAAAACATGATTTGGAGATGTTTCAAATTTTTAAAGAAAATTAGACATACAGATAACAGTAGAATTCAGAACTTTTTTATATTTATATAGATGCTCATTAACAAGAGGCATCTAGCGTTTTTTAACATTGGAAATAATTGTTGACCATGTTAATATATACATATATATAGTTGTGCAGTTTAGGACATTAAGTGGTTTGCTGCTTTGATGGAAATTATGGTTCAGTGGGTTGGATACGAGAGAGATGATTGTTCACAGAATAACCTGTGAACTTTCACCCCTCTGTATGGAAACTTGTTTCAGGGCCAAATCCTTGTAGCTGTCTACTTGCCCCGGTCAGTGCCAGCCGTACTATTCACAACACTGCTGCTACCGAGGCCTAGGTATGTAAACGTTTAAGGAGTTTTTAAAAAGTCTTTTAACATCAAGTTAGGTTTTAAAAGAATTCAGATTCATTTTAGCATACTTACAGGGTATTTTATGTGATTATCTTCGATTTATTACTGTATAAGTTTAGAATTAACTTTTTCATAGGGATTGTCTAAAGTATTCTTGCTTTATGGTAGAATGGGGAAAAAAAAAAAACTTAGGATGACAAAAGTATGCTTCTTCAGTGTCCAAACTACTAAATAATTTCTGGGCTTTATTCATAAACTAGGTACACCTGGCATAATTATTATTGACTGTTTTAACATTGCCTTCTTTTTATTTTTACAAGCTAAGAAGAGGTACCAGTGATCCTAAATAGTGGACGAAAACAGGAGTGTTCTATTTTTTATTTTGGAGGAGGGGCATGAAGGGTTACTGTTTTCAAATTGCCATTTGATTTTCAAGCTATTAATGTTAACATGAAAACAATTAGAACATGGATATATATATATATATATGTATTGAGTACAGAAATATTTTAAGTTTAATTGTTGTAACAGATATAGAAGTAAAATAAGATTTATCTTTTTGAAAAGTTGCCAGTACATCTGTACTCAAGTTCTAACTGTCAAATGGGGACATTTTACCTTTTTTTCTTTGGATAGGATCAGTTCTTAAGAGCAGCCCCAGTAACTGGCGGAATGGGAGCAGTTTTGATGAGAAAAATGGGCTGGAGAGAAGGAGAAGGATTAGGAAAAAACAAAGAAGGAAATAAGGAACCTATTCTTGTTGATTTTAAGACAGACCGAAAAGGTAACAAGATATTTTTGAAATGTTCATTTACTGCAAGACTTAGTACCTACCATGTGTGTGTGTGTCTGTCCTATTTACCCTGAACCTGAGGTATTTCTTGTATAATTCACCGTTATTTGTCAAATATTCTTTTACCTATTTCCACCCCCAGAAGTTTTCTTTCTTAATTAATTTTTTTCTATCAACAGATAGATTTGGAACTTGGGGAGGCTTATGCAGTCTGCTAGTAATTCACTTATACTGAGATAATAGCCATTGGTATCTTTTAGTTAGGTCTTCCTTCTGGTAAAGTAAGATCACAGTGGCTGTTAGCTCAGTATTTGAATAGTCTGTCAGACTTGGCTTTTAAAAATGAATGTACTTTTCCTTTGTAGTCAGACGTAAGTTGGAATTGTTTTTTATAAATTTGTATGGACTAGCCAAAATATACTAAGTATGTATTGTAGAATTTGAGGGTGCATTCTTAATGTAAAAGGTAATTTCCCAGGGAAGGTTAATATACTAGCATGTAATTAGCAAAGGAGGGCTCCCGAAAATATATGGAAATTGAGAAACCACTGTTTGAGTTTGTAATATCATCAATCCCTTACCTAATAAATTTAGGGAGTGGTTGTACAGATAGGTTACAGTTTATACCTTTAGAACACTTCATATTTGTTAAACAAAAAAGGAGGATTAACTATGATAAAGGCTGTACCACCACTTGAATACACTGCCTTATTTTAAAAGCCTTTTTTCTTTAGTACTTGGGTTTGAACTTGGCCTTATGTTTTCTAGACAGGCACACTACTATTTTAGCAATAAGTGTTCTAGTCTTGCTGGGCTCCCTTCAGGTGGCACTACATGTTCATCTGAGGAGCAAGGTTGTAGCCAGTCTGGGTAGAAAAGTCTATGAAACACTTAACCACCAAATAGAATTGGAAGGAGGTCTCAAGTGGTGGAGTGCCAGCCCTGAGAGAAAAAGTTAAGCAAGAGCTTCAGGCTCTGAGTTCAAGCACCAGTTCCAGCACAAAAATGAATGAATAAAACCCAAATCCCAGCCCTTTGGGGAACATATTAAAAGAATTGTTAAAACAAAGATAAGCTGGGCATGTTAGTAAGTACTCGCTGAAGAAGCTAATAATTGAGTTTGAGGCCAGCTTGGGTGAAACAAGTAAACCATATTAAAAAAATTAGTACATATATAGGGCTGGGAAGGTGGCTCAATGGTAGAGTGCTTGCCTTGCATGAATGAGGCCCTGGTTTTGATTCCTCAGTACCACATAAGCAGAAAAAGTGGGAAGTGGTATTATGGTTCAAGTAGTGTAGGGCTGAAGAACTGAGGGACAGTGCCCAGGCCCAGAGTTCAGGCCCCACACAAAATTTTGTACATTTAAATAAAAGAACTAAAGATTTATGTAGAGACTAATTGTGAGATGGATCTGTTTTTTTTGGGTGTGTTTGTGTGCCAATCCTGGGGTTGAACTCAGGGTGCTGTCCTGAACTTTTTTGCTTAAGGCTAGTGCTCTACTGCATGAGCCACAGTTCTACTTCTAGGCTTTTGGTGGTTAATTGGAGATAAATCTCAAGGTGGTTTGAACTGCTTGGTCTTCAAATTGTGATCCTCAGATCTGTTTTCTGAGTAGCTAGGATCACTGTATGAGCCACTCATCCCTGACTGAAGCCATTAAATTTTATTTGACTGAAATTGTTGTAATTCATTCAGCTAACATTGGCTTTTACTATTTTTAAAAGGTCTTGTTGCAGTAGGAGAAAGAGCACAAAAGAGGTCTGGGAACTTCTCTGCTGCAATGAAAGACCTTTCAGGTGAGAACACTTTAAAATTTCATCTTGCTCACTCATACCTTGAATTTCTAATTGGTTACAAAGTTGGTGGGAATTACTAACTGCTTATATTTTCTCTGCAGGTAAACATCCTGTGTCTGCCTTGATGGAAATCTGTAATAAGAGAAGGTGGCAGCCACCTGAATTTCTCTTGGTCCATGATAGTGGCCCTGATCATCGCAAACATTTTCTCTTTAGGGTAAATATGAATTTTATGCACTTATTGTTACTTATTGTTAGAGGGTAAGGGATCATGATACAATCACATAGCAGATTAATACTCTGTTTTGTGTTGGGTGTGGGGGCAAAGTGGTGGGGATTTTAAATACTGAAGGGTACTTTAATATATGAATATCCTATTCATAGAAGATGGGGGGGAGGAATCTGGTGGGAAATCTGTTCACCTACTGGTGTGCAGGGGGAAACCTAATACCTTATCAGCCAATTTGGAGAACTACTGTTAGTTTGCAGTTCCATTTTGTGAAACATTTACCTTTTCTGGGCTGAGATTAATTTACATAGTATGGGTTTTTTATATTTTTTTAGCATTTAGTGAAAAGTACAAAGCTAATAGATATTAAAGTTTGATGCTGTTCTTATTGTATGTTTTTCTTGAATAGGTATTGAGAAATGGAAGCCCTTACCAGCCCAATTGTATGTTTTTCTTGAATAGGTATTGATAAATGGAAGCGCTTACCAGCCCAGCTTTGCCAGCCCTAATAAGAAGCATGCTAAAGCCACAGCAGCTACTGTGGTTCTTCAAGCAATGGGCCTTGTACCAAAGGACCTCATGGCTAATGCCACTTGCTTCAGGAGTGCCTCACGTAGATAGATTGAGGTTTTATATTAATCATTTCAGATAATTTTACTCTGCATCACAATGTATTTCCTCTTTAACGTTGTAAATATTTGGCAATTTAAGACATTGTGTAAAAAGCAATCTGTACAAACATCTCCAGGCTTTGATTTTTGTACCATGGAAATTGTATTTAACCATACAGGGTTTTGGTATGTTTATATTGTTTACCTTAGTGTGATGTATTTGTTTAAGTGGCTAACATCCAAACAATTGTTTGAAGGCATCAGTAATCTTCAGTGTGGAATGTTAAATAATAACGCTTTTATACTGTATTTTGTACTATGATGTAACTCCCTTTCCTTATGGCTAGGCTGCTGTAACACTTGCCTGTAATCAGTGAAGGGCTGTGCACCTTGTACTATTTCACAATGGGTTCTGCTGGACAGATACTGGGCCAGTGTTAATTGAGGTAAACAAGAGACCTGTTCCATAGGGCTAATGCCACCATCTCCCCTTACAATTTTGTAGAGGTTTCAAAAAGAAAGTGGTATATTGTATAATGATCAGCACTAAGTCCTGCGTTCCCATTAAAGCCACTTGCATCATAAGAAGGGAGTCAAAATGAAGTCTGACTAGAATTCTACTGCAGAGGCCAAGTATATTTAGTATGGCTTGAGTTGTGATATAGTTTTACTTTGATGTGCATTTTGAATTTCAGCTACACCTAGATAGACGTAAATGATAATTAAAATGCTGTAACCAACTTATCTAATAAAATTGGCAACCAGCCACTATTTTGTTGACTATGAGAAAGCTTAAGTTTATGTTAATTTTTAGGGTCTGATAGAATATTTCATGTGTATTACAGTGGTATTCATATGATGTGTCTCTAAACTTTATTTTCAAAAGCTTAAGGCCCAAATACAAACTTCTCTGGAATAAAATAAATGTGGTGTTTTATTCTGATTATAAAGTAAATCTGTACACCTTCACCTAAGTACTACTTTATTTCTGTACCCAACGCTTTGGTTTCTAGGCATGTTTATTTTAAAACATTAAATTTCACATTTGGCGTCACATACACACCTGCAGCACATTAAATAAAACTACTTGCCATGACCACTTACCCATCCATCTCATATACTAAGTACAAAATACCCTTTGGATTAGCATGCATTAAAAGAAAAAATTTAAGTGTACTAGAGACTAGAAGAATAATAAATCAGTACTAAAGATACTAAGATAGAAGCTTCTGGAATCAGCTTTGTGCATTATTGTCTACATTTATTTCCTGCTTTCATAAATGGACAACCTATTAAAACTTGTAGGTAAATTGTTAAGAGTAATACTTTGCCCTGATGTCCTTAGTCACCATATCATGGAAAAGACTGCTATTGGTTTATAAATGTTTCAGTTTCCCATTAATAATGAAACACTGTCTTTAATTCAGATTTCCACCAAGTTTACAATTAGGTTGCAGAGAGAATGTTCCTCCAAGTTATTTAAGGTTTAAAAAGTTTGTCCTCTTCATACCAGAAAATACTATGAAAATAGTAAAATCAAATGTTGATTTTTAAACCTTAGTGCTACTGCTCAGTCCTTGTAATAAAAGAAATTATATAAATATTTCAGTATTTTTAAGTAAGTATATTCCTGAAATGAACTTTAAAAGTCAAAGGCTTAACAGAATCTTGAATTTCCTTGCTAGGAGGTTTTTCCTCAAAGAATCCTTTTAGGCTTACTTTGGTGTTCAGGATCTCCATTTATAATTGTAGTCACTCATTTCCACATTTCGTAAAGATGACTTCCCCAGTACTGGTATTTGACTAAATTGTTTCAGAGTCTCAGTGTGCAAACCACAATTAGCAAGCTCCTTATGGACAACTTCCTGTGGAAAGATGTTATACAAGTCAGTAAAAAGCACATAAGTTGTTGGACACTTTTTAGTAAGTACCTGGGAAACTTCACAAAGTGGATCACTCATATGATTCGTGGTTAGAATTAAGAATTTTTACATAGGCCAAGGCAGTAAAATATGTCTACAGGTCTGGCAAACTGATAGGCACATGCCAGTTTTAATAGGCTCTATTAATTACTCTAAATAGAAATCTAAGCATAAAAACAAATATGGTTATATAAATACCTATCAGAACTATTTCTGTACACTATGAAGGAATCAAGTACTGTTAACACTTTGCCTCAGGGAGAGCGGTCAAAATGGGTTTGAGGTGTTATTGGTACAGCAGCTTGATTTTCAGAAAAATCCAAAAAGCAACGTATAAATGAGACACGATTTGTTACCTCAACTTCCTAGTTTTCTAATTTGAGATAAACATAACAGCACAGATACTTTTTCTAGCTAAAGGAAATCACAAGTACAATATACTTACTTTATCTAGTACCTTACTCAGCGGCAGGCAGATATTAAATACAGTGGTTGGCTCATGTGGATACAGTACTGCAGAGAATGACCCATTCTGGGAAGATTTGAGGAGCATGGTTACAGAATGTAGAGCATGAGGCATGACTGGACCGGTAATCTCCAAGCTAAATTGATCTTTGTATCCAGAAAGGGCTTGTGTCTTTACACTAACACTTCGTGCCTTCATGAGAATTTAAAGAAAAAGAAAGTTATGATCATTTCTCAAGTTCCTTAGTTCAAAATTTGAGTAACTTTATTTGGGGTTTCTCTAATAATTACGGAATAAAAATAGTTCCTAAGGCTTCAACACAAATCTGAGTAAAAATAGTCTCTACCACACTCTTTTGACTTTCTAAGTTGCACTATATTCTGGAGGCTTTAATTTATACATCTTAACTGATTTAATACATAAACATGGGATGGCTACTGGGAAGTTCCAAAATCCATTCTGGGCTGTTAATGTGTTTTTTGTTGTTATTGACCATGTGGAGCTTGAACTCTGGGCCTGGGCTCTGTCCCTCAGCTCTTCAGGTCAGGGTGAGCACTCTACCACTTGAGCCACAGCACCACTTCTGGTTTTCTGGTGGCTAATTAGAGATAGAGTCTCATGGACTTTCCTGCCCAGACTGGTTTTGAACTGCAATCCTCAGATCTCAACCTACTGAGTAGCAAGGATTACAGGTGTGAGCTGCCAGCACCCTGCTTGTTAATGCATATTTTATATGCAACTTTTTTCAACAATACATCTCATTTTGTTTACAGAAATTTAGAACAATTATTCTCACCAAGGATCCAAGATATTTTAAATTGAGACAGGGTCGGGGCTGGGAATATGGCTCAGTGGTAGAGCGCTTGCCTTGCATGCCTGAGGCCCTGGGTTCGATTCCTCAGCACCACATAAGCAAAAAGAAAAAAGCTGGAAGTGGTGCTGTGGCTCAAGTGGTAGAGCGCTAGCCTTGAGCTGAAGAGCTGAGGGACAGCGCCCAGGCCCAGAGTTCACGCCCCACGACCGGACCAAAAAAAAAAAAAAAAAATTGAGACAGGGTCTTGTCATGTGGTTCAGGCCAACTTGGCCTTGAAAGTTGTGATCAGGACTGGCACACCCAAAAACGTTGGTATCATTCTGCCTCAGCCTTCCAAGTGCTATGATCCTAGGGTGTGTGTGTTGTATATGTGCAGGTACTATTGCTGGAACTCAGAGCCTTGGCACTAAAATATGCTATGATGAATACAAGTGGTAAGAGTAATGTTTAAAAAAATAAATCAAGAAATGAGGGTTAGACAAAGTGGTACACATATGGAATTCCAGCTATCTGGAAGGTAAAGATGAGAGGACTGAAGTTCATGGGCCAGTATGGGCAAAAACGTTGGTGAGATCTTTTGTTAAAATCAAGCTGAGGCTAGGTGATGGTAGCTTATGCCTGTAATCCTAGCTACGCAGGGAGGCTACGATCTAAATAGAAAAGTCCCCATGAGTCTCTTACCTCCAATTAACTAACCACCCAAAACTGTAAGTGAAGATGTGGCTCAAAGTGGTAGAGTTAGCCTTGAGCAAAAAGAGCTTAGGGATAGTGCCTAGGTAGCCCCACAACTGACAAAAAAAAAAAAAAAAAGCTGAGCATAGCAGTCACACAGGGCTGTGTCTGAGGAAAGCACGAGGCAAAAATGGTAGACCCTAACTGAAAAATTAAAAAAGGGTAGGATGCTGATCAAGTGGCAGAGTGCTTACCTAGTAAATGCAGGGCCTAGTGCCACCCCTAGATCTGCAAACACACGAAAAACTCATCTTTAAAAAAGTACTTCTTTAAATGCAAAACCCTTGCATAGTGACTCCCATCTTTAACTCTAGCTACTCAAGAGGATTGCAGTTTGAGGCCAGCCTGAAGAAAAAGATGCCATTTCAACCAAGAAGGTGAATAATGTGGTGTGTACCTACTATCTCAAATAAGTGGGAGGAATAGGTTGGAGGACTGGTCCAGGTTGGCCTGGGCAAAAATATGAAACATTATCTGAAAAATAACTAAAGCAAAATGGGCTTCAGGCATGGTTCAAATGGTAAGAGCGCTAGTCTGTGTACCAATTGCAAACTGAGTACTGTCTCCTCTTATCTATCCCCAAAGCTATGGTATGGGAGCTGGCTGGGTACAGAATTCTTTAAATTACCTTAAGCATTTGCATTGTGGCACCTCGGAAAGCCACAGGTGATAACAGAGTTGGTGGAAGTCCTGCCTGTACACCTGAGGTAGAAACTAAACTCTTACAGTTAATCAAAAAGTTTAGCAATGTGAAGGTGTGGATTCCTTTCACCAACACAACAGACTCTGGTCTGTGATCCATTTGTACTTCATGTCTCTCTTTACGTCTGAAGATAACAATCAAGGAAACTGCAAAAGCATAAACCACACCAACAAGGAAATTGTTATTTCAATTCTAAATCTCCTCGGACCTCTTTTACCCAAAACAAAATGTTGCTGACCCTCCCCCCTTCATTGCATTCATAGTGCTAAGTTCATTAAACAATGTGCTAAATTTGCTAGAAACTGATAATCAACAAAAACAACATACTTTGTGGCACTAACTTAATCTTGCCAGGTGCCACTGGCTCACGCCCGAAATTCTAACTATTCAGGAGGGTGAGATCTGAAGCTAGGGTTCAAAGCCAGTCCAAGCAGGAAAGTCCATGAGACTCTTATTTCCAATTAACTGGAAGTGGTGCTGTGGCTGAAATAAGAGTGTTAGTCGAGCAAAAAGGCTCAAGGACAGTGCCCAGGTCCTAAAAACCTAAGCCTAAGGATCAGTAAAACCCCAAAACACTATTCTCCCTAAAACTTAAAAAGTTGAATGCTTTGTCTTAACGGAGAATTAGTAAAATCTTAAGATAATTTAAGATTATAGTAAGTTAAAAATCCGTTCAATGTTAAAACACCTAAATTCAATGAGAACTGATTACTGTTAATAGAAACTAAAAGGATACAGTTTGATGGAGAGTGTATCTGGCTTTTTAATTTTATCTTGTACACCCATTTCTTCCAGCCAAGAAAAGCTTTCCTCTTCATCTTCATCACTGCCTGCTTGCTCCCTAGGAAATCACTGTTGTT